GCACTCACAACCGCCTGTAACTCCAGTGTCCAGGGGCTGGAGGCCTCTTCCGGCACCTGCATGCATGTGTGCATACTTACACCAGAACACACACGTAACTAAAAAAATAAAAGCTTAAAACCAATGGTAAGGTGGAGGGCAGCTGAGCTTCTGATGCTGGCGCCTGGTCTGTAAATGCACAGGCCTTCCGCCAAGGGAAAACGATACAAGTTACAATTTTCTTCACTTCTTGACAGATACGGTCAGGTGATCTGAGGACCTGGTTAAGCATCTGCATCTCACCACATATATTATTACACAGTAAAAGAGCATTTATTGATGGCGGTGGTGGCGCACACCTTTAATCCCAGCACTCAGGAGGCAGAAGCTGGTGGATCTCTGTGAGTTCGAGGCCAGCCTGGTCGACAGAGTGAGTTCCAGGATAACCAAGACTACACGGAGAAACACTATCTTGAAAAACAAAACAAACAGAAGGAAACAAGACCATTCATCTGTGAACAGTCACAGGCTTTAAAGAGAATGAACACACTTCAGTTCTGAAAATGCTTTGGAAGACAGACTAAGTTCAGTCTTTACAGAAATAATGGATTTATGGCCTGGAATTATGTAGCTCAAGCTGACTTCAAATTCTCACTAGTCTCCCAGTCTCAGGTGTGAGTTACCATGCTAGGCAACTGTTAGAATTACCTGGGCTTGATCCATGGTAACAGCTACCTAACTGCTCCTAGGTTTAACACAGAACGGGAAAAAAACACAGAACGGGAGACTTGGGTGAGGGTCCAGAACAGTGACTGTGCACACGGAAGCACATTTAGGTTCCCATATTTAGAAACAAGGATTTCCTCCATCCCCATTGGCATTTCAACATTCATGGCACTTACTTTAAAACCATAGAAATGAGCTAGGCCTGATGGGAGGGTGCTGCTTGGGAGGGTGAGGCAGGAGGACGGCAAATACAAGGCCTTCCCAGAAAACACAGTGAGTATTCCCAGTCTGAGACCTAACAAGACCTGCTCCCCAGATTTAAAAGTAAAGAGAGAGCTGGGGACATAGCTCAGTGATCAGACACTTGCCCAATATACATTAGGCTGGAAGTTCAAAGCCCAGTACCGAAAAAACTATAGGTATGCACATACATCACACATACCCATCTTCACAAGTGAACGGCAGTGATCCCCGCCCCGCCATACACACACACACACACACACACACACACACACACACACATACACACACACACACACACACACCACCATATCCACCTTCCTAAAATGACTGACTCCTTCAACTACCACCACTGCGGACCAGTGCTCTCAACCTTCTCCTGCCTCAGCCGCCATTACTCCATGACAGGGCAGGGGTGCTGACATGTATTCTACACTCTCAACAAGATGTCTGGATTTCACAAGACGACAGATAAAATCAGCTGGCATTGTGCAAGCTTCCCACATCCCTACCTGTCATTTCCCTTCTGCTGTAATGATGTTGGCCGAGCACTCACTATTTGCCAAGTACCCAGGTGCACTGCACACAGCAAACGGCTTTCGTTCCCATGGGAACCTTCAAGGTCCATAATAAAATGATCCTCACGAAGCCAGCAAGGCACGGAGTCTAAGGAACTCCCCTCGGGCTCATGGGATCAAATCTGGATCATGTGGTCCTTGGGTTTATGTTCTGACACACTTTATTCCGGATATACATGAGGGAAATATCATCATACAAAGGATTGCTTCCAGTATCTTGCTATATACTATACACAAATTGCATCTTGTTATTAAAAGTGAGCGTACCTTGTGCTGCAGGTGTGGCTGAGTGTTCTGTGCTCTGTCCTGCAGCGATCCACTTGAAAACTACCCTGAGACCTCACTGCTTTCCCAGTCGGAATTATGAAAAATGATTAACTTGGCTTTCCTATCGCTTTTCAGTGAAAGTGTGTTCACCCTGAGATTACAAGAGGGAGGGAGAGCCACCAACAGACAGCGTCAGTCTTTTGATATCAAGTCTGCTCCTCTAATGACGAAGGAATGCCGGCTTGGAGAACCAATTAAGACTAATTGGAAACTTTAAGCACTCCCAGGCACTTCAGATAGAAAATGAAGCTCAGTGAAGCTCAAGGTGAACCCCATTTTCAGAACTTCACTAATTAGAACCAGCTGAGATTCTTAAAGGTCTCTCTTCCTTGTACAGACGGGCTCCACAGCAGAGAAAGCAACTTGTGAATCACAGTGTGTGCAGCTTCATGAATGATCAAGGTTGAAAAGAATGAGACAGAAAGCGACACCAAATACAACTTCCTAGGAAGACGATCTCATTTGCTTCTGCCATGTTTTCATCAGCCAGGAACTCCTAATGAGCAGGCTTGTTCTGAAAATCACACTTAGTCCAATTTTAAAATCTGAGGGCAACAGCAATTAAAAATCCCATCTTTACAGCCGCCTTGTTAGACGCTGTTTAAAGACAAGACGCGCAGCGCCACCTACAGGGGACCTTCAGAACCACAGTCCTCGGTCTCTGGCCCGCACTCTGAATTAGCATTCAAAAATCTTACTCTTTACGTTTAATCGGAAAGCTCGGGGAAAGGGTGAGAAAGACATAAAAAGATCCTCCGCTGTTTTGGATTATTGCTTCCTAACGTAACTAAAACCAACCTAATTTCATCAAATACGATTCAGACACCCAGCTTTCAACGGGAGCAGGAGAGACGCAAAGTTATGCAACCCTTGCAGCTTTTAAAGTTCTGCGGAACATGGAGGAGACTCGGGTCATTGGTGAGAAATCTGAAATCTGCCTCCCTGAACTGTGGAACCCCTCTTCCCCATGTTCCTTCTCCTCAAATTTCTCCACATTTTCAGGCACCGACGCGGTTACAGTTTCTAAAGTTGTCCCATAGGGTTTGAGACTGAGCTCTCACTGTGCGGGACAGGCCACACTATCCACAGACCACTTCCTCTTTTCATTTCCATTCTCCCTTCTCTCTGACCGCCCTCTTGGGAAGCAGACATGTGTCCTTAAGGTACCGGTTCTTGTTAGGAATATTTCTTAATATTAGCTCCCTGCCGACGCAAAAATTCCCAATCAAGCCAAATCAAAACAAGCCAAATTAAAAAATATCCAAGTTTAATGGGAGATCTGCGCTCTCGGGTGGCCCCGAGAGGGAAACCAGGAAGCAGTGGGGCGACCCCCGGGAGGAAGAAAGGGAGACCACTTAAGTACCATGGAGAGTGGTCCTGACCCCTCCTGACCCCATCCCCAGGGAGGGGTCAGGATCTGGCCTGCTGGGATTTGGAGTCCAGACCAGGCCTGGGGGCTGGGATAGATGTGAGGGATTGGGGCCTACGCTCCCAACTTGACAGTTCTTTTTTTTTTTTTTCTAAATATTTATTTATTTATTTAGTATACAATATTCTGTCTGTATGTCTGCAGACCAGAAGAGGGCACCAGACCTGATTACAGATGGTTGTGAGCCACCATGTGGTTGCTGGGAATTGAACTCAGGACCTTTGGAAGAACAGGCAATGCTCTTAACCTGAGCCATCTCTCCAGCCCCAGTTCTTAATTTAGGATCAATATTAAAGCTATCTGGAGTCCTCCAATAACAACATCACGCTTTTTGTTTAGCCGGGCTTGAATGAAGCTTGAGCATGGAATAGCATAGCTTGACTTCGATTTACCTCCAAGTTCTCAGGTGACCTCACCGTGTAGGATGGTTTACAGAACACTGTCTCAGTGCAGGGCTGCAAGACTTTCTCAGTTGACTTCTGCCTGCATTCTGGAAGTGGTTTATGGGCCCCACTGTGCACAGCAGCAGACCCTACTTGTTCAAGAGAACCCTGGACTCACGTTTCCTTAGACAACAGCAATTACTCGGACAGCTGGTGCGCTCTGGCTGATGCCCAGCTAGTGGCATCACCTCATCCATCGGTTGCACCTGCCACTATTTTGAGGTATGGTCTTATGTGACCCAGAATGACCCTGAACCCATGATCCCACTGTCTTCACCTTCCAAGTGATGGGATTCCAGATATGCACTGGGCCGCCCTCTCTGGAATACACATTGATAAACCTTCAAGCCCCCGCCCCACAGATCAACTCCCAGGCCAGCAGGGTCCGCCTGCCTCCTGCTTCCCAGTGCTCACAGCGTCCAGTGCTGCCCCGAGCTCTGGTCTCAAACAGCCAAGTCACTCTTCTGGGTCAACACAAGCCTGAGCACAGAGGAGCTGGCCTCCCCTTCGCCTCCAGCAGACCTGTTACTCCATGCCCATCTTCTGGTGGTTCCCAAGAACAGGGCACAATTCCATCCACAGGCCCCAGTGTGCAAATCCTGAGCTCTTCCAGGATCGGGGTTCGCCCAGGCTTCTGTGTGGAATGTAGTTGGTGCTAAGTGTTCAGTTAAGTCCTGCAGTAGAGCTCAGTCAGTGCTGGCCTCATTCCAGAACATTCTGTTACAAATCACTCAACTCCAGTTCACGGCTCCCTTAGGTCTGGTCCCCAGAGGCAGTGATCCCCAGGACTGCTTGGGGAGTGGGTCTAGCTAGCAGGGAGCGCAGGCAAAAAGGGTGTGGTTTCCAAAACACAGGCACTAAATTGCTCCTTGTGTGCTAAGCCAGCTGGACTACATACAAAAAGCAGAGTTCCCAGGAGAAGAAACAGAAAGTGGAGCAGGGTGGGAAGGGGCGTCTAAGGTCAGGGCTCACATGAGTTCCACGTTACGGAGCAAGCTGCAAGGTGTAAGCCATTGCCTCCAAAGCACCACACGTTTGGCCTTCCTACTCACTGCCTGGGCAAACTGCTTCAAGAGGTGGCACATATGGACACAGTATTTTGAAAATGTTACAGTAAGCAAGCTTTAAAAACCTAACAAAGTTCCCAAATAAAGCACTGTTCTGAGCTCTGATTCTTGTCTCAATGTCTCTAAACGGAGCTGCTATTGCTTTCTGGAAGGCAGTTGCTCGCTGTAAATGTTCATCTCTTCAAAGCCATTTTGGAAGCAGTCAGAGTCACAAGGTTTCAAAATGATGTTTATTTCAACACATGAAATGTGCCATCTAGCACCAACGACTGAAAATTCCAGAATTCCATCTGGTTACTACTTTTTGGAACTGGTGGTGGTGTTCAAGTCATTGACAGATTAGTCTATGTGCGCAGATATTATTGGAACAAAAACGAGACAACACAGCAAAAAGCATTTGATAAATGTGCACTGAACTAAGTTTTAGTTACTCAAAAAAAAAAAACCAGTTTCGTATAAACATGATGTCTTAATATTGGTATTTTCAAGTCAGATTTTCTTGGATGATATGTACGAGAGACTGCTGAGCCATGTGAGCACGGAAGCCTGCGCCGGCTCTCTGCTCACGCCTTCCTTCAGAGACAGCCTCTGTCTGAAAGGACTCACTGCAGTGTCCTTAACATCAGGACCACTCGCCTACCTGTGACGGAGGAAAAGAAAACTCTGGCCGGTAAAGATGCAAGATAACATTTTCAGTTTCTTTTAAAAGAACATGTAAGTATTAAAGACAGAAGGAAAAAACCATCACTGCGCAGCTATGTAAAGTGTGACTGTCTTTGGGATTTACGTCAAACACAAATTGAAATTTAAGCATTATTATACAGTAAGACATAATTACGATTACTAACTGGGTTGACTTATCTCTAGTTTCTTTCTTTCTTGAGACAGGGTCTCATTATTCCTGGAACTGGCTCTGTGTACCAGGCTGGTCTGGAATTCAGAGATCCACCTGCCTCTGCTTCCCCAGTACTAGGATTAAAGGCGTGCATCACCATGACAAGCCCTCAAAACACTGCTATAGAGTAGCAGATATCATAGGAATTAGAGCGACTTATCTCTAGTTTCTTGAAAATCAACCATGCTTGAGGCTAACCTCAAATTTATTTTTATTTGAGTGATCCCACTGCTTCTTTTAAGCAGACCTTGGTGCTGAGCTAAGTAACCTAAGCTGGATTTCAAGCCCAGGGCAGGCAGGCATTTCCCTGTGGGCGGTCCGCGGGGGTCGCCATCCAGACACCAGAGCTCTAAGGACATGCTGGAGAAACTGTGAATGCATCTTCCCATGCTGTATGCACATGCTCCATTCACATCTGCACCTCACCCAGGATGTCAGGGGCGTGGCTAAGATGGAAAAGGGTTTCAAGAAGGCAGTTTCTGTAAGGAAATGGGAGGGGGGTTTAAACATTAATTTCACATCACCAACTATTTATTAGGTATTTTACACTATATGATACACCCAGTAGTCGCTATGTGCAATTCAAGTGAATTGCATTCATGTACAATGTTTAGAGATGGTTCTTTGTTGCTATCCAAAGCAATCAACAGAAAACAGATGTAGAAATGTGATTAAAATTAAAAACCTTTCTGCTAAAAGACAAGATCTCCTGGGTAAATTGGGAGCATAGGGACTTTGGGGGAGGGTTGAAGGGGGAAGGAGAGAGGCAGGGAGGGGAGCAGAGAAAAATGTAGAACTCAATAAAAATTGAAAAAACTAAAAAATAAACAAACAAACAAAAAAACTTTCTGCTGCAAAAACTACACTATCAAAAAATTTCAGACACCCACACAACAGGAGAAATTATTTTCAAATCACACATCTGGTATCAATAGGCAAAGGAGACTTAGAATATTTAAGACAACTCACTGTGAAAATGGGCAAATATTTCTCTAGTGACACAGAAGGTACTGAATAGCATTGATCATTGAGAGAAAATAAAAACTGCATGAGTTTCTACTCCACATCTTCAATGGCTACAGTCACATGACAGGCAGGAGCAAGCGCTGGTGAGGATATGGCAGTGAGGAAGCCCGTGCACACCAATGGTGGACATGGAAAGACAGAAGAGCCACTTTGGAAACGTCTGGCCACTCTTCACCACATCTATGCAGCCTCTAGATTCACACACACCCTGGCCCCGGAAAACACACACACAAGAGTGTTCCCGGTTGCGTTCCTCCTCACAGGTGAGAGGCAAAGCCGATGAGTGAACGGGTGGGTCAGATGACCAGAACCACACAAGGATGTGACCAGACACAGAAGGAGTGAGTATAAGCCGGAGCAGGGCACACGGAGGAACACACTTCGCTGAATGAAGGGAGCTAGACACAAAAGGGCACACAATGAGGCTATACAAAAAGCACACACGATGATCAGCACAAAGGGAGGGCTAGCGGCATTTCTTTCTGTGTGATGAAAACACTTAAAACTAGAAAGCGGTGCTTTACACAGTTCTGAACATACTAAAAACACCAAGATGTACACTTTGGAAAGGGTAAATGTGATGAAATGAGAATATCAATTTGGAAGGGAAATATGTCTTTGCAAAATCAAAACAACTCTATATTCAGAAACATAAAAATATTTATGCCTCAAAAAATCTACTTTTAAACCAGTACAGCAGCTTTAGCAAATACTATAAACCCTTAAGGAACAAAATGTATTTCCTTTGCCTTTTTAATACATTTCACATCAACACCAACCAATCTGAATTATAACCCTCTTACTCTCCTTTCCTTAGACTGAGTTTTAACACCCACTTCTGGTCCCTAAAACTCTATGCTAGAATCCTCACCCTCAGAAAAACTCAACCATTGCAAATTCATCAGAAAGAAGTGCTGTTTACTAAATTTTAGCCTCATCAGTTAAACTGAGGTCTCTGCCTTAGGGCAATCAGAGCTACATTACTGGCATACAAGGCAGAGACACCATTCTTCCTTCGACAGGCCTGGCTGGCAGGTACAACAGAGGCACGAGAAAGGCCAAAACGGGGACACGTATAAAAGGAAGGTGACTGAAGCTTAAAAGTCACAACTGGCGGTTTAAAAAGTCGGAGACAAGAAAGTTACAGAGCTAATCATCTGTCTGAGGTTATGTTTAGTGCCAGGTTGGGAAAATGCCCCCCCCCCCAAAGGCCTGTGTGTCAAGGCTTGGCCCCTAGCACGAGGCACTGGGAGAAATGTTAGAGGGCAGGTCTGTGGGCAAGCCCTTGAGGACGCTGTCTGGACCTGCTCCTCCCCTTCTCATGCTCAGCCAGAGGTGAACAGGTCTCCTTTGTCACACTCTCCCCACGGCCTGCAGCTTGCTCACAGGCCAAGAGATAAGGCCAATCAACCCCATGGCTGAAATGGGTCAGGATAAACTTCTCTGTAGTTCATTGTCTTAAAGTAATCGCTGATGAACACACTCAGTTACACAGCCATTTAATTTATAGCCGAAAAGGACTTTAAAAGAGCCCACCAAGCTGGGGATTTATCAGTGGCAGACAGCTTGCCTGTCACCGAGGGCATAGCAGAAACAAAGCTGGCCTTACATATTTTTTGAAGTTGGGTCCCATTATGCAGCCCAGCCTGGCCTCCAACTGCACAGCCTTCTACTTCCTGAGTTCTGGGTTGTGACCAAGAACCCAAGGCAAGACAGGTAAGAGATGGAAATCCTGTGTCAGTGCCTGAGGCAGTCAGTCACCACTGCTATCTCACTGTGTGGAGGTGAAGAGCGTGACACCACCTTAGCCCACAGACAGGCATGAACAACTGGAAGCTCACGTACCGGTTGCTTCTTTTTGATGTATATAATATGAATGTCTTCACTTCGGTATTCTTCATCGTGTTTGTCCAAAGGAACTTCCTCAAAGTCAAAGTCTAGTTGAAGGAGCTGCAAATTTCAAGGACACACAAATGCTACACCCAGGAATCTGGATAGCCTTATGATAATGAACTGGGATGGCGGTCACCTCTGGAGAATGGCTGACTGGTAAGGGAAACGTGGAAACCTTCTCAAGTCTGAAAACGTTCTGTATCTTTATGTTGAAACAGTTATTTGGATGGAAATGCATGAGCTGAGAACTTGATATATATGCACTGGATATGTTTTAATTAAGCACAAATTACTTAATTATACATAATTTCAAAAGTTCAGTAACATTTTCTTATATTCACGCAAAACATGGACCTCATTTTAGCATATGTTATCTGAGGGACTCACTCACATACTTGCTTTAGCATTAAGCCAAAGCAGTTCTTCTGTATGTCAGGCAAAATTCCAGGATGATACAGAGAGCTTCAAAACGAGCCAGTGCTTAAAGAGGTGAATCTGTGCCCATGAAAGGGTCCAGGTCACCACTTAGGGGAGTATGAAGGAGAGATATGGGCAAGACAGGCATGCCTCTTTAAAACTAAACTTTAAAAATAAACAACAGCAAAACGCTGAAAGTCACTAACGCGGTAAAATGTGTAATAATGACATAGAGGAGACCACCCACGCGTTTCTATCATGGGTTCTTTAACGCATCACCGAGGAGAATGCAAAGCCAGTCCTGTGCTGACCGGCTTGGAAGCTGCCTCAGAAAAGACAAATTTGTCATCACCGGTCCCTGACGCTGCTCTATGGAACATATGGGCTAGTGAGATCAGAAAAAACTCAGGACTGGGAAGGTCAGGGGATGGTGGGCGCTGCGCAGCAGGGCTGTGGAGGATCTTCTCCTTGGGTTCTTATTGGGAGAAAGCTTTGCCCAATGAACTTGCCAGAGCAACCATATACAGCCCCCCCCCCACCCCCCCGCAGGGTGACAGCCACACACAGTACTCACCTCAAAGTATTTTTTCTCAATTTCTGGATTTTTCCCCATTGTACGTTGCTCGTAACAACATATAATACAAGTTTCAGATCCACTGAGATCTTTTAATGTTTTCAGCAATGGTTCCAAGGACTGTAAAAAAAGAATTTCCTATTATACAAAGGGGTCAGGAGGTGACGAGGTCAACTGCCCTATAACCAAACCACTCTGAGTCAATACAACAAAGCAGCACTCTACAACTAGATTGGTGATATTGAGTTCTATCCCCTCCAACAATAGATAGATAGACAGACAGACAAACAAACAGATGGATAGATAGAAAATCCAAGGACTAGATCTTGTTTCCACAGGAACACAAGCAGACCTGCCTGTGTCTCTTTTGTCTGTCTTGAACTGGGGTGTGTTATATAGACTAGCCTGGGACTGAGCTGGCATTGACTCCTCTTCCAACCTCTCAAGCGTCAGCACTACAGGAGCTACGTATCACCATGCCTGGTTAGACTCCAATCTTAAGTCTAATTTCATTTACCGAAGTTAGGGTATTTAAACAATCAACAATATAGTCTACAAAAACAAGCCTGATTCTAGTGGTTTAAGATTTATTTTTATTATTTTAACTATGTGTATGTATGCTCCTGTGTATGGGCATGTGCACAAGTGTTAATGCCTGCAGAAGCCAGAGGAATGGGAAAACCCTGGAGTTGGGAGTTACACAGGCACTGATGTGAGCTGCCTGATGTGGGTGCTGGGAATTGAACTGGGATCCTCTGGGAGAACAATATGTGCTCTTAACTGCTGAGCCATCTCTTCAGCCTTCTGACCTAATCTGAACCCAATCAGTTGGCTCAACAGTCATTAATTTAAAAATAAATATTTCTCAACACTGTATATAAATTGATATGTAAAGAAAACTCACTCCACAAGTGTAATAACTCTTGTCACTGAAAGTTAACTGATTAATAATTTTTTAATATTTATTTATTTATTATGTATACAATATTCTGTCTGTGTGTATGTCTGCAGGCCAGAAGAGGGCACCAGACCTCATTACAGATGGTTGTGAGCCACCATATGGTTGCTGGGAATTGAACTCAGGACCTCTGGAAGAGCAGCCAGTGCTCTTAACCTCTGAGCCATCTCTCCAGCCCTGATTAATAATTTTTTTTTGCGGGGGGGTCCTCATTCTGTGGTCTATGTTGGCCTAGCAGGCACGGTAGTCATCCTGCCTGGGTCGCCCAGGTTCTGGGATTCCAGGTGTGAGCCATCATGTCTGACTTGCATCTTAATTTTCAACATCATGGTTAATAATCAGTGAGAAAAAAAGGAAAGAGACAAGGGAGGAATTTCAATTTTTCAAGATATATCCAAATGAGAAAACCCTTTTAAAATTAGAATAGAAAGCATGTAAGTTTTCCCAAGCACTATTCACAGGCCTGTATGCTTATCCTGAATTGTACACACATGTAGAGCCTGATGACTGTCTTTACTGCAAACATCCCACACGCAGAGACGTTACAATGGGGAGGAACGCGGGCTTCGGGACACACGAAGTAGCCAGCGTACTCAACACTCACCTCTTCATAGTATATGCAGTCAGCCATCAATATGTAATCCGGCGAAGTCACGTCTTCTAGTTCTTCCCCCCTTAAAAAGTCAAACGTATGTCTTCAACCGATGCTTTAACAATTTACAGTATTCATTTCAGAAGCGAGGAGCAGAAAGTTTCCCCCATATTAACAATGAGTTGGGCAAAATGCAATGGAAAGCAAATGAAAGTGGTTATCTTAAAACAAGCTGAAAGGCCATACAAACCATTTCAGTACCTTGGCTTGAACAGACCCGGTCACCAGATGCTTGTTCATATTAATATTCATTTTCAGCAGGTCCTGCAGCTCCTCAAGATCAGTGACTACAACATCTGCCCTGAAAAACAACCTCGATTGGGTACAGGCGCGAGGCTGCGCGCCGCTGACCTGACGCCGGCTGTCCGGCGCCTTCCCGCCAGTTCTTACCCGAGGGTCGCAGCCATGAGCCCCACGGCCCCGGTGCCCGAGCCCAGCTCCAGCACCGAGCGGCGACTCAGCGCGTGGGCCCCGTCGCCAGAGAACCCCGGCGTCTCCAGGTATTTGGAAAGGACGATGGCGGCGTCCCACACAACGCAACCTACGCCTCCCGAGCCGTACTGCTGCAGGCGGAGCACCGTCCCATCCCGCTTCTCCAGAACCCGCACAAAGCTCCACAGCGGGTCTTCCACCTCCGGGTCCACGGCGGCCGCCATTGCTGCTACCAGCGGCTGCGTCACGCGGTGACGTCACGCTCACGCAAGGCCCGCGCTGCCCAGCGGCAGAGCGGCAGGTTGTTTCACTGCGCGTGCGTGGGTCTCGAAGCCCGGAAGCAGCCGGAACCAGCAGAACCTACCTGGGAGTGGTTTGGCTCGTTGCGACTGAGATCAGCACTTAAAGAAACAAAGCAAATGCCAGTGCTTTTCTTGGCTGGGGAATGACTCACACAAAGCTGTAGGCTATAGATCTAGGCAGCTTCCCAGGTCCTATCAAAAATTGTTATGTTCAAGAAGTTTCCTACTGTACATCTACTTTTTTCATATTGAATGCATAAAAAAGATTGCCTGGGAACTTGCTACTTGCTTTCAATGGTAAAGAAAACCCTCTAATATTTACGTCCCCCTGGGGCCAAAAGATGGCCAGCAAGACCAAGGACCTGAGTTCCAGGACTCACATAGTAAAGAACTACCTCCGGCAGGTCGGCCTGACTTTCACACTGGATCTGTGGTATGCACACTACACAACTACACACGTGATAAATAGGTAGGCAGGCAGGCAGATGAGAGATTCTTCTAGACTTTCTTTTTTCAGCTTTGTGGGTTTTGTTTTGTTTTCAGGTTGATCTCCTGTATCCCAAGTAGGCTTCAAACTCACTATGTAGTTGAGTCTGGCCTTGAAATCGAGATACTTTGGTCTCAACCTCTCAAATACTGGGATTACAGGTGTGCGCTTTGTACCCAGCTTCCTTTTGTTCTTTGTGATGGAAAAAAAAATATCGCAGATCTTTTAAAAATTAAGACTGAGGTGATTTATTAATCTTGTTAAGAACTCTGATACAAAGCACAGTAAAAGGCCACAGACCGGTGGATAAAGAGCGTGGCTTCTGGCTACTTTACACTGCTGCTACTGCGCTCTCAGCGCACTGTGCTTTGAGCACGGTGAACGAGAGCGTACAGGTGACAAAAGCTTTATCCTCTGTCTGATTAAAATTTTTAATAAAGTTTTAAGTATTTTCTGTTTAAATATTACCAATCTGGAAAAACTTTTAAAAAATTTCAATTAACACAAGATTAAAGAAAGTTATTAGGTTTTTGAAGACAAGGCAGTTGGCAGTTGGTTCCTATGCCATAAGAAACTTCTGTTCTTGACTTACAAATTAGTAAAATAGCAGACTGTATTATAGGCCTCAAGTCACTTAAATTTATATAGGTTATTAGCATTATCTTTAAATATATACAATATAAATAAACTGTACATACATGGCATATTAACTTTGTTTTCCCAAACAAGAGGCAAATCATTACCTAAAGACACCATAAACTGCAAAACTAAAGGTGCATCTTAATGAGATACATGCCCCTTTTCTTCTATAATTGGGTTATGTAGAATTGTTTATAATTTTAACAAAATAATAAACAGTGCATTCTATTGTTTCCATTCTAGTTTCCGTTTTTGTCTTCAGCAGCAAATACTGGCATTAAGACATGGCATCAAGAGTTTAAGAACAGTAGGTGTTATTCTCTAGATGTAAAAACCAAGTTAAAACCTAGAAGATGGTCAAAGAGGGTTGAAAACCCAGTAACATCATAGTACATCTCTGTATCTGTGGAAATTCATTGCCTTAAAAAGGCACCTATTACTCCGATGTGAGGAATTCCTCGAGAACACTACCCCCTTTCAGTGCAGTATCATTTAAGCCATATGGTAGCGGAGTCTACAGTGCAAATAGAAATTCATTATACTGGCCTTTGGGCAGCACTGAGGAGCTGAGACGAGGCAATGCTACTGATCACCTGAGGGTTACGGTGAAGGGCTTTTGCATTTTAATGTTTAGAATTCTTTCCTTGGTTTTGCTTTCTTGAGACATGGTTTCTGTGTGTAGCCATGACTGTCTTGGTACTCGCTCTATAGACCACGCTGGCCTTAAACTCAGAAATCCATCTGCCTCTGCTTCAAGAGTGCTGGGATTAATGGTGTATGTCACCATGCCTGACGACTTTTCTAATTCTTAGAAGCTTATTTGATCAGTAGCATTTTGTAAGAGCTTTATTTGTAGAAAGTACTAAAATACTATGCCTCTTCTGAATAAATTAAAACCTTTACAAATACTATTCCAGTGTCAATGACTACACACAGCTAAGGTCATTGAGGAGTTTCTGCATTTTCGAGCAAAGGCAGTCTGTACAACGGTGGGTGTGAAAGCTCCCGTTTGTAAGTCTTTGGTGGCAGTTTTGGTAGGTGAGGGCTCGAGTTCTGCCGCGGTGGAACAGGAGGAGCTGGAGGATGCGCGAGAGCGCTGGGACTGGAACTGAGCAAATGGCTTCTGCGCGGCACTCGTGGCGAGGGCGTGCTGGGAGGAGTGCTTGGTGAACTCGGACTCGAACTAACGTCTCTGAACCAGTCTGGGTCTCTGTGAGGATGTCCCAGCGGAGGTGGCTGAAGATTAAACGGGCAGTTTATAAAGTGTTCTGGCGGCCGAAGAGGAACTGGTGGCGGGGTATCGGGAAGAGGCTCTCTCGGAGGGGGCGGAGGCGGACTGTGCACAGGCCCATCGAAAGCAGCCGCGGGAACAGGAACTCTTGGCTTTACCTTTGGAGGAGGCGGCTGTCTTGGTGGAATAGCAGGGGGGTCATCATCAGATTTCATAGTTCCCTAAACAAAACAAAAAGGCACATGTCTAGTCTCTCGAAAAATATATAATTTTTAAAGACTGAAATTTTTTTCTGTGTCGTTAAATCTAGAGGGCCAAATTAAATGAATGTGGTTTAATTATCATGTTCCTGACTAAATTACTTTCAGTTTAAGTCTGGGCTCAGTTTAACATTTGGATATAAGATGTTTTCACTGAAACCTAAAAACATAGAGCCCCATATCACCTTGCTTTGTAATCAATATTTTAGAAATTTATAAAGCTTATTTATGGCAATAGGCCAATAAAAATAATAGTTTTATAGGCATGAAAGGACATGGCATCAAGAGCCTTTAATATCTAGCTTCTACTCAATGAGCATTTACTTTTAATTTTCCCCATGGCACTTAAAGCAGTAGATCTCAGAGTGGTACCCAGGGACCAAAAGCATCAGTCCCAGTAAGGGTTGACTTAGCATAGCCCATTCCCAGGCCCAGCTGCAGCCTTACAGCCTGGAGCTCAAGAACTACTTGTAAGAAAGTTTTCCAGATGATTCTGACATGCCCGTGCATTTGAGAAACACTGGTCTAAAGTTCTCCAGTTCTTTACAATAGGAATTCCAACACCACCCCCATCTGTGCAAGAAAGACAATGCACTTCTGATTATCTGAATTTTCACACTTTAAAAAAAAGTTTTTAAAAAATTTATTAAACAATTACTTAAGCTATTTTTCAAATATGACAATCTAAATGTTGAAACTCTGCAGAGTGTGGTTAAATTATGATGTGACACGCTGTAAAAATACTCTAAAAACAAGCGATTTTGGAGATTGACAACTCTGCATAAGTTGAGGCAAACCCAGGTTTGGATGACTACCTTGGAATTTGAAGCATCATGATCAACTTTTTTCCGAGGAGGAAGCGGAGGAGGAATCAGTGGCTCTTCACTCAGCTTGTGTAAGCTTCCACACGAGCTGAAGAAGGTCTCTGGGGGAGAGGAGATGGGCTTACAATCACAGTGCAGTTACAGGACAAACTCCATCAGCGACCACATTTGTCAAGTGGGTTATCCTCACACAGCTGCTTGTCTGATCATCCATCTTCCCCACTGAAACTCTAAGCACCAGAGGACACCATGTGCATGTGTTTGTAACCCTAGCATCTACCATAGCAACTGGCTTGTAATACTTAGATGAAGGCACATTATTAAGATTAATAATGAAATTCTAAACTGGTCCTGGTGGTGCAGGCCTGTAATCACAGCTACTTGAAGTACTAAGGGAGCAGAGTTATGAAGTTCAAGGCCAGCCTAGGCAATTCAGTGACTGTTTTAAAATTAAAATAAAAAGTATATTAAAAGAAAAAAAGTTGAGGATATAGCTCAGTGGTAGAATGCTTGCCTAGCACGCATGAGGCTCAAGGTTTGGCGATCAGCACCTTTAAAACAAAACAGAAGGCCTTCTCTAAAAGCCTTTTAAAAATTCAAAACAAAAGTCAGTCAGTGGTGGTGTACACATTTAATCTCAGCACGGGGAGACGGAGGCAGATGGATCTCTGTGAGTTCGAGGCCAGAGAGGACTACAGAAGTTGTTCCAGGACAGCCAGCGTAGTTACATAGAGAAACCCTGTCTCAAAAACTAGTGAAAGAAGACAACAACCAACAAACCACCTGAGAATGTGTGGTGCACATGGTGGTGCACTAGCTTCCAGAGTAATTCCATTCTAAGTAGAAACTATTTTCAATGCAAAAGAGATCTAGGTATTATGCATAAGCAAGCAATCCTAAATTACAGTTTGTAATATAAATACTACTAATGTACTCCACTATATTTCAAGCAACCACAGTAAGCAGATGTGCAATCTGATGGATTATTTTAAAAAATTAAGCTATCACAGCTATAAATAATGAATAAGCACCAATACAGCAATGCCAAAGCATTAGAACAACTAAAAATGAGTTTGATGCAATAGAGACGTATTGATATTTCTCTCTGATTTAGAAGGTTATGGGGCTTTTATTGGGCTTTGTCTGTTTGCACTGAACACTGAGAAACATTTCTAGCCTTGAAGACAGGTTTTTATGATTGTTTTAAAAAGGAGACTTTTCTCTTCACTGCCACATGCAGCAGCTTCACTGTGCACTTGACCTGGAGTCTTCTCTCTGGAAAGTCAGCCTGCTCTGGGACCGATAAGGCAGAGCTGGACCAGTGCTATACGTTTGCAACTAATACACAGAGTAAGGACATTTCCACCATAGAGCTAGAGAAACCTAAATAAGCTTCAATAACTATGTGGAGCTGAAGCTTCAGTTAGTGATGGAGCCTATAATGTACTCACTGCCTCAGAGACACCAAGAAGGACACAAGGAAGCACATTTTCAGGTTAAAGAGAAAGCACTGTAAAGGTCCAGATCAGTTTCCTAAGGGGCTGACGTCATGGAAAACTATGCCAGGACACGGGGGGATGTGAGCAATAGGTGCTGAAGAATAGCACAATGGGGAATGTGCCAATGATTAGCCCCTGGAAACAGGTGACCACAAAGGCCATGTCATCGAGCACACTACACATGATTTAGCAGTGGCCCAAATACAACACAGACAAGGGAGAGTGTCCCTCTCATTGCCTAACTCTAAAAGTAGGGGTCACAAAGAGAGAACAACATCATGAATGTGCCTGTCACCCAAAAACGAGGAGGGAGGACAAGAGGCAGGGAACTGCTGTAAGGTCATTTAAGTGTCTGGTGGCACCATCTGCCTCTGACATTCTTCTCATATATCATTTTGATAAACATTCAAAAATATATGCAGCAAACACTTAGGAGGCTACACATACTCTTCTGTGGTTGGCTGGCTGCAGAGAGGTAACCTACAGACAAGAACTGACAATAGACTTTTCTCTGGGGCAGAAACAGAAGTGGAAGAGGTCAGGTAACTAAGATAGACTTACTCTACATCTCAGGTCAAGAAACATGGCGGTGTTCTCTGTAGTTACTTAATTTTATTCCTAAGAAGTCTGAAGGTGGGGAGTAATTTGTTAAAGTTCAGATAGTCTCTAAATCATAGGTAAAAATGATTAAAACAAAGATTAATGAAATTTAATGGCACAAAGTTGTAAGTAATTCAGACCATTTATAAGATTTTCTTAGGTCTGGGGATGCAGCTCAGTACTCTAGCATCTGTGAAGCCTGAGGAGGGGTGGGGAGGGCAGAGGGAAGGATGAAAGAAAAACATTTCTTTCTTTATTCTTTAAATGTTGCTAACCCCCAAATATAGAAACACATCTCCAGCCAAGCAGATTACGACCATGACTGTCATTTCACTGAACCCAGACATCTGACTTACTTGACTGTGGCAAGAGGACCGGAGCAAAGATGGTATTGCTGCCTAGTAGAAAGAGAAAGATTCATTTCAACAGAAAGCTAACATGGATAATCTTCTTTTCAAATGTTTTCATTTAAAAAATGCACTAGCTCACGCCTTTAATCCCAGCACTTGGGACACAGAAACAGGTGGATCTCTGTAAGCATAAAGCCAGCCTGGTCTATACAGTGAGCACAAGGCCAGCCTGGTCTACATAGTGAGGACAGCTAGGGCTGTGTACAAAGACCCTGCCATAATACCATCATTCCCAACCAAAAGTAAAATGCACTGTACGAGTGAACACAAAACTCTATCAGCATCTTCTGACATGCCAGTTTGTAACATGGACTTAATACTCGTGCCTGGAATGGTTTCCCTTTTGCAGATTAAGTGAATTCTCCATCATAAACCTTTTTAATTTTTTTAAAGAATTTATGTCCTTATTCTATCATCCATTACTCCCAAAAATTTTTTTTTAAATTTTTGTTAACTAATAAATCAGAAAACCCACACACATTGCATAATAATGCTTTGCTCCTATATTAAGCGCTATTTTTACACTTAGATGCCACTTTTCATATCAACATGGTATCTTTTTTTTATTTCCTGTCAGTGTGACACACACCCTGACAGAAGCAACTCTGAGGAGAAGGGCTTGTGTTAGCGTACAGCTCAGCTACAGTCCACCATCAGGAACAGAGAGCAGTGATTACATGCCGCTTGGCTTCAACTCCCTTTCACGTTTCTCTAGGAGACAGCATATCCCAGTGGAGCCCTGGCAGCCGTGGAATGCGTTATGTAGACACTCCCTCAGGAAGATTTCCCAGCTGACTCTGTCACATCACGGTGACAATTAAAACCAACCAGCACACACGGGCCGTGGCTTCTACAGCTCCCAAGTTGGAAAGAAGAAATGACCGACTTAAGACACAAAGTCCTCCTCTTGCCAAGGGGTTTATGTTAGACACTCACCACAGGAACTATTGAGATCAACGTCTAGAAACACGCTGTGGTCTGAAGAAGCAGACACGGGTGGAGTGGATGGTGTGTTTGGAGAGGTGGGTGCTGACACTGTTGAGTCGAGCTCAGTCTCAGCGATCCTACTAAAGCTTATCTTGTATGGTTCTCTTTCCAAAGGCGTTGGGTGACCTCGTAATGTGCCTGAGGTAGAGCCATGTCGGCCTGTGTTAGGCCTGATTCCAGGAGATTTTAAGGAAAAGGTTGATTTCCTAGGCTAAGAGAAGTAAGTACAGTTAAAACAGCACCCACTTGCATGCCATTGCTTATACTTACAGCTATCTTGTTGTGAAGCATACTCTTTATAATATTCAAGGACAGCGCATGGTATTTTTATAGTATTTTCCAGACTTGATTAGATTGTTTATCATGGGCTCCATAAGCAGATCTTTTTAAAACATAAGTTTAGAGATAAAATTCTTGAAAATTGTCAAACAACTTTTTGCTCCTAAGTACTTGATCCTAAATTTCTCTTTCACAACATCTATATGTAAGTTTCACAGACATTTATCAGATAACATAATTTATGTGACATAATACGCTATATGTGCTTCATTTTTTAATTTTTATTTTATATGAATGGGCATTTTGCTTGCATGTATGTATATGTAACATGTACATGCCTGGTGCCTATGGAGGCCAGAAGAAGGCATCAGATTCTCTGAAACGGAAATTACAGGCAGTTGTGAGCTGTCATGTAGGTGCTGGGAATTGAACTCAGATCCTTTGCATGATCAAACAGTGGCATTAACTACTGAGTGATCGCTCTATCCCCTAGTGAGCTTCAGTTTTTTAACAGAAGATAATTTTTCCTTCTGATCTTAAGCTAATGAACAGTCAATCCCTACACTAGAACTTTAACCACTTCAGGAAAATGTATTATCACTGTCCCTACTCCAACTTGCTTGCTTCTGAAACCTAGTGGTAACCTAGTCAGAAAAATTGAGTAAAATCCCTGCTTACCATGTGGCCCTAAAAAGGCTCTTTTAAAACCTTACCGTGCATGAGTTTTTAAAAATATTCATTTTTATCATATTGTGTGTGTGTACAGGTGCCTGTGGAGACTGCAGGTGTCGCAAACTGCAACAGGAAAGTGAAAGTCTGAAGAGGCCCAAGGCAGCCCTGAGCCCCAGCTGCTGCCTGCACCCCAGAGGACAGAGGCATTACCTTCCCAGGGCTTTGTCCTGAGCTTTTCTGAGAACCTTCTGGGTACTCAGTAAATAAAAGAGGACCTGTGCACATGGCTGAGGATACCTGGTTCTTCTTACACTAAGGGAATCCGAGAAGGTTTTACAGCGGTTGTTTTGGAGCCCCATGAGGGAGCTCCAAACCCTTTCACAGGGGTCACCTAAGACCATCAGAAAACACAGATATTTACATTATAATTCTTAACAGTAGCAAAATTGAAGTTATGAAGTAGCAATGAAAACAATTTTATGTTTGGGGGTCGCCCCCATCAGGAAGGTTGAGAAACACTGTTCTGATTGCTTTCCTTTCCTTCCACACCTTGTTTTACTTTTGCCTACTGAGGATTGGCTTTTTCCACTCTTGCTGTTGTCACTGCAAATCTCTAGAGCATCTGTGAACTGCAGCAGCAAATTCTAGTAAAAGAAAGTACTCTAGTGTAACCACAGGACCACAGCCATGCTGAGGTACCATGATACATCTGGTACTCGCCAGCTGGCCTTCCTTCTTCCTTCCTCCCCCCCCCCCCCCCCCCCCCCCCCCCCCCCCCCCCCCCCCCTTTTTTTTTTTTTTTTTTTCCTGAACAGGGTTTCACTGTGTAGCCTTGGCTGTCCTGGAACTCAACGTATACACCAGGCTGGCCTCGAACTCACAGAGATCCACTGCCTCTCCTCCTGAGTGCTAGGACTACAGGCTGCACCACCACTATCTGTTGCTTTCCCTGGCCTTTTCATTTATCCCATCTAGTTATTTGTTTCTGGGCCTCACTTTCTTATAACTTTCCTCTTAAAATAGGAGGTAAAAATGGACAGATAAATAAATAATACTAAAAGGAAGGCTCCTTTGCATGCATGTGGACCTAGTTTCTACACCCAGTACTATTTTAAAAAGAAAAAAAAACAAGTTTCTATCAAAAGGGTCTCAAGTATGCTACGCAAGCACTCATCTGAGTCCCATCCCCACCTTGTATATGTAATTTTAGAAATAAAATAGTTCTGTAAAGTAAAGTAACAAAGCAGCTATTGATTATATAACCAATTTAAGAGAGCAGGTTATTATTTTAAAAACAGAAAAGAATTCCCACAATCATAACAAACTCACAAATCGAGGCGGCTGTTTGCAGTTTCGGGGTTCAATCTCTTGTGATTTGTTGAACAAATAATCTGTAAACTCTTTTTCAGATAAAATTCCCATGGGGTTCAAGTTTTCAAAGAATCTCTAGAATTAACACATAAATACATGTATATACTTTGGTCTTACTACAATAAGATCCTATTAATGTTAACACTAACACAAATGAAGACATTGCAGTATCTGAGACATTCCTAAAGACTGCTCATTCTACTCTCTACCTACAACTGAGACTGTACAGTTTCTGAGGATGTCACATCCTAGCCTCACAATTTACTAATATGAACAGATTCTCGGCTTAATCATTAGCATCACTTGCTTCTTACGTCCCTTCTCACTGTGACAGCCAGTTTACCGCCACTCATCTGGCAACAGAATTTACAATGGAGATTATGATGGAAAATCACAGCAGGATGTTCATAAGCAAGAAAAATGTGGAGATAACTGGATTAAGGCATATTCAAAAGTAATTTTAAAGGTAATTATAGATTTAAATTTTCCTGTATTACCCTTTAAGGTGAAAACACTGTTTGTTCAAAAATATTTACTATAAATATATACTCTAAACTTAAATTTGAGTTTTAAGTAGAAAATTCGGATGATTTAGTAAAATGTCAAAAAACAATGTGTGTGTGTGTGTGTGCGTATGTGTGTGTGTGTGCATGCGAGTGTATGAGTGTGCACACATAAGCACAGGTGCCTGTGGATCCCTGGAGTTAAGGAAGATATCAGCTGCTTGGTGTGGGAGCGGGGGACTGACTTCTGGTCCTCGGAAAACACAGTACATAGTCTTAAATGCTGAGTCATCTCTCTAGCCTGTAGCTCAGATTTTAAACTACAAAATGATGAAATGATCTGAGTTACACTTGGGCTTGAGATGTGGCTCAAATGGGAAAGAAAAAAGAGGAAAAAGAAGCAGTTATTTCACTAACCAGAGACTTCGTTGCTTTTACTTTAGTACTAGAGTATCTAATGGCCTTCATCATCTGTGTGGTGATAAAATAAATAAACACTGGAATCTAGTCATTGGATTTAGCTTAAATTTTTTCAGACAAAGTCTCAAAAAAAAAAAAACCAAACCAAAACAAACAAACAAAAAAAACCACCAGCCCAGGCTGCTTTCAACTTGTTATTCTCCTGCCTCAGTCTCCCAAGTGCAGGGAACACAGGCATGTGCCACTATGCCCAGATGGCTAGCTTTATTTAATTTTATATGGTTAGAAACACATATAACATCAGACACTGGGTTTTAACTTTAGCAGTAGGTAAAATGAGCCTTAAATTGTCTATATAAAATCCTTCCCATTCTACAAGTGTCAGAAACACTATTACTTTATTGCTTTAATATACATCTTCTTGAATTCAACTTGGCTAAATTAAGATGCTATCAGGCAACAGTAATTTCATCCTCTATAAAACTGTAACAGATACACTACTGATTTTCCCAACCTTTGCTTTATTTTTCAATACTATTTAACTTGGCTAACTATGACTTGAAAAGTGAATGCCTACATTATTTATTTATTTAGAGACAGGGTCTTATGTTGCCTAGGCTGCCTCTATGAATTCCTGACCCTCCAGCTGTTAACTCTTAAGAGTTAGGATCATGTGCATAAGGCATCATGCCTTGGTCTGTTGAATTTTAAATTTACTTTGACTCAATTCTAAGGAAGGCAGATTTGCTCTGAATGATGGTAAGAAGCCTAGACACGATCACAGAAACATACTAGCAAATGCTTCTGAGACATGAATGAGAAAAGAGTATTTCAAATGTACTCAACTACAGTACATCAGTACATTATTTCTACGGGATGAGCTGGGCCTAAAGAAGTTCTTTTTATTTTATTTTATTTTATTTTATTTTATTTTATTTTATTTTAAGACGGTTTCTCTGTAGCTTTGGAGCCTGTCCTGGAACTAGCTCTTATAGACCAGGCTGACCTTGAACTCACAGAGATCCACCTGTCTCTACCTCCCAAGTGCTGGGATTAAAGGTGTGGGTCTCCCCCCTTCCCCCTCCCAAGTCTGCATTTTTTAGTTGTCTGCTTCAGTCTAAAGCTTAGTATAGTTTTTAATGCCAGGAGTGACTGATAGGTACAAAGTGAATAGTGATTGTTAGTATTGTAACTATTGTAGTAACTATTGTAACATTGTAGTAAATAGCGACTGATAGTTACAATGTGACTAGCAAATGATTGTTACATGACTAGCGATTGAAAGTTACAATATCAAGCAAGTATGATACCATAAAACTCATCTACATAAACATGGTATTATAATTCACTCTCATTTAGCATTAATCCCATATTTTGTGATATTGTATAATCCATATTAAATATTACTCAAAATGAAACACTGATAGAATGCTAAAAAAAAAACCTTTGACGCATATACACCTACTATTCTCCAAATCCTTCACAGTGATCTTATGAAGGGATGAATCATTCAATGTGATATTGGCACATGGGGACTATCTAAAATGGCTATCACTGAGCAGCGGTGGGTTTTTATTCCATTGTGTGGATGTTCCATTCCCTTTGTCATTTTTTTATATTTATTTATTATGTATACAATATTCAGTCTGCATGTATGCCTGCAGGCCAGAAGAGGGCACCAGACCTCATTACAGATGGTTGTGAGCCACCATGTGGTTGCCGGGAATTGAACTCAGGACCTTGGGAAGAGCAGGCAATGCTCTTAACCTCTGAGCCATCTCTCCAGCCCCCCCTTTTGTCATTTTTTAGAAGCACTTCTTGAACCAATGCACAAAGAAGCAGTACTCTCAGAGAAAGTACTTGATATAGCGAGTGCCGATGGTGTAGACACCGTTACTTGACATAGTGAGTGCTGACAGTGTAGACGCCTTTACTAGATGTAGTGAGTGCTGACAGTGTAGACACCTATATTTACATTGCTAGGCGAAGGTTAACTTACTCCCAACAGCAAATGGAGCATAGTGCATCACTGTGACATTTCTTAGCAATTACAGAGGACTTAAAGCCATCTCCCTCAAAGATAAATAAGGAAATATTTACCCTTATTTCTGGTTCTGTCCGTAAGCAGTAAGGCTGGTTCTGATACTGCTGAATCTCTCCGGTAATCTCGGCCACTTTCCTCCTCTTACTGAAATTGATCAGATCTTTCCCTTTCTTCTTTAGAAAATCATTGTTCCCTTCTTCAGTCTTCAGAATATTTGTTAAATATATTCCTAGTTAAAAAACATTTAAAGTTATTTTAAGACTTGTCTCATTTCATCAGTAATCTGGGGAGACCGAAAGACACAGAACTTATCAGCTCCACTTCTGAAGAGTCCCAGACCCAGAAGTGACTCTCTATTAATTTGTAACTCACAGCTTAAATGAAAAGAAAAAGAAGACCATGCTTCACTAAAATTAAAGGTTCCTGTTCTAAGAAATGGCAGACTAAGCATGCCCAAACCCTGTGGGTTAAAACTTAGTCTAATCAAATGTATTAATATTTGATTTAAAAATATTTAATATCAACGCTCTTTAAGTGACTATCAACAAAATAAGCAATTTTGTTTAAGAACAGTAGGATAAACTGCTTCTTGGAGCCTATCACTTAGACAGTAAAAAAAAGGTTTTAATCCCTTTTTATGCAGAATTACTGATTCATTTAAATTAATGGTTCTTAGCTAAAGGCAATTTTGTCCTGCAGGAAATAGTTGGGAATGTGTTTAAATATTTCTGGTAATTACAAGTTTGGAGTACTACTGTTCTCTAGTAAACAGGAGCTGCTTAACACCCTACAATGTAAATGATAGCCCTTCACAACAATGTTTTCCTCTTAACTTCAACCAATAGTGCTACAATTAAAAGCCTTTGATTTAAATAAATCATCTAACTCCAACAGTGAAATCAGTCACATGCTTAAACCATGGACAATATATACAATAACGGTACCATGAAACTACAATAAAGGGCTGGAGTGCAGCTCATAAGTATACTATATGTTTAATGACCAGATTCCCCACCCCCCAAATAAAAGAAGCTGAAGAAACTGTTGCAGTTGCTGTAATCTTACAGCACAATGCATGACTCGGGTGTTTCTGGCGACTCTGGTATAATCAGACTGCTGCTGACCCATCACATAAACCTATGGCAATATAACTATGCCAGGTGGATAATATTTTGTAATCATAACAAAAGGTTAGGTTATTGAATTATGCACTACTATGCTAGAGTTTTATCATTATTTTGAGGGTAATTTTACTTCTAAGGAAAAAGTTTACAGTAAAACAGTGTGCTGTGTTATGCTGGCACCAGTCTCACTGCGTCCCAAGGTGACGTTAAAGGCGTGGCACAATGGGACCTATTCAGGAGGCTGAGGCAGAGCTGTTTAAGGCCAGGAATATGAGACTAACCTGACATCTAGAATAAACAACAACAAAGGAAACAACCCCAAAGAGGTCATATCAAATGACTGGCTTGTACCACTTAGGTGTGTGTAAGTGTACTCTATGATATTTCCACAAAACCCACTCAATGATGCTTTTCTCAGAATGTGGATGACAGCTACACATTATATTTATATAATTATATTTAAGAAAAGTTCACATTATGAAGCTCTGCCCAATGTAATTTATATTAGTTATGTTGCAATTCTGAGTTAAAATTTTTTTTTATTAGCAGTGATGGCACACACCTTTAATCCCAGCACCTGGGAAACAAAGACAAGTGGATCTCCGTGAGTTTGAGCCCAGCCTGGTCTACAAGACAGACTCCAAAGCTACAGAGAAACCTTGTTTTGAATCACCCCCTGAAAAGTTTTTTTAATAAAGACTCTGTAAAAGCACTTTTATAATAATTACAGAAAACACTGCAGATGTGACACAAACAAGAACAGCAGCTGCACCTGAGAAGTCTTCACAGGCTGTGCGAAGAAGCACAGGAAAACGGTAACAACTTTAAAAGGCAATTATTTTGATTTTCATTATACAGACAAGGAAATGGAGATTTTTGTCTTTTATTTTCCAATACAGATAAATAATAAATTCATATATATGAAGACAACCTATCTAGAAAGACCCCATCCCTTTTGATTACAATGCATTCATCTTTAAAATACAGTATCTATATTTAGTAACTTACCAAAAAAAGGCACGCATGGTGGATTGATTGACTTCAGTTTTACTAAGTATTTTTTGAAGTGGTCCTGACTCAATTCCACAGCATCATCCAGAATTCTCCTCTTCCTTTCTTGCAATGCCTTTAAAACATGTACACTGAATATAATTCTTGCATATAACTCAATCATATATAAAGGCCCTTAAGAATATAGAATTTAGGATTGATAAAATTTTGCATACTTAAAATGATTTTAAAAATTGTGAGTCTTATTCCTTTGGAAATTGCTAAAATGTATAATCCTGTTTTATCTGTAATATAAAAACTAAGAGTTTGTGTTCTTTCTACTACAAATTGGAAGATTAAGGAATACCGAGTTCTCCTGTCTGGGCACACACTGCAGGGACAGAAAGAAAGAGGATGACCCTTCAGGACTAAATGGGCTTCTGAGGTTGAGGGCAAACCTTAGCAACAAGAAAACTGTAGAAAGGTAAGAAAACTTGAAGAAAAATCTAGTGAATCAGGTAATCTCAGGCATTTCCTTTTTATTTCGTTACTACATTTTTCTTATTGGAAATAAAATAATTTATAATTCAATAAGGCATGTAAGCACATTTACATAAACACAGACAAACAGTAATATTGTACTTGAGAACCAAGTCTCTATTTCCTTTACATTAAGGAAAATACAAATGTGGCTGCTGAATAAATAGGTCTTATTCAGTATGCAACCCAAGTCCCAGCCAACACCAACAACAAGAGACCAGGGAATGCTATCACCTCCCGGAAGTCAGAGTTGGCTGTCTCTGGGGAAAAACAGCCCAAATGTACATGTTAATAGGAATATTAATAGGAGAATTTTGAAATCTTGCTGTACATAAAAGTCAAACAAAACCCAACTGTATTTCCAGATATAACCATTTTCACCAAAAAGAGAATATTATTTTTAAAAATATTCCAATATATATAAGAAAAGAGTGATGGTGCCTGTCAGGAAATCATAAACAACATAAAATGGGAACAGATGGAAGGATTCACCACATTCATTGTTAGGAGGGTGCATTAATATAAAACTGTCAGCCTTTCACAGTGACTTAGATCTAAACACAACTCCTTTTAAACTCAAAATTTTAAAAAATATGAAACTTAGGTTGATCTAAAGTAATTGTATTTTAGACATGCAGCACAGGAAAAATCAAATAGGCAAAAAAAAATAGATGGAGCAGAAACAAACCCATACATACAGAGTCAATTTATGACACAGCAGGTTCAATGGGTCAGTGTGTGTGGGGGTGAACTTTGAATAAATGTGTGAGAGCGACTAAGTGGTCATAAGAACAGAAACAAAATCAGAGTTCATCTCGTCCCATATTTAGAAAAACTTCCAGCTAAATTAAAGATCTTCCTTTGTTTAGTTTGAGATGCGGGTTCATCATACAGTGAGTGCTTTCCTTAGCTCTCAGTCCTCCTGCTTTAGACCTTGACAGTCGGTAAGCATTACATGAAGGAGACAAAACACTACACCAGGGCCTCGGAATCTGCTAAACAGAGTATCACAAAGCCATGTGCTTCTAGCTTTAGAGGTAAGGACAGAATAGAGCTGCTGGGGCCAGGCATGGGTCAGGGTGTCCCTGAATGGAGGCCTAGGGAGGCCGTTATGTGAAGCTGTGAAGTTGAAGCCTGGATTGCCTTGGAGACCCCAAGATGTTGGAGATGCCAGAGTCGTGGGATTCCTGCCGAGGAGAGCTGTGGACAGCAGGTGGAACCAGCCCAAGAGAAAGTGTGTTGCAGTCAACAAAGTTGAAAGAAGCTGGAGATGTGAAGAACATTTTGATATCAGACACAGGGAGCTGCAGAATTTGGGGCTTGCCCAACTGGTTTTTGGTCTTGCTTTTGTTCAGTATTTCCTTGCTATGCTCCCTTTCCTGCATTTTGGGATGATAATGTATATCCTGTGCCATTATATGTTGAAAGTATGTAATCTGCTTTTTGATTTTGATTTTATAGGGGATTATAGTTAAAAACTGCATGAATATCAGATGAGATTTTGAACTTTAGACTCAAAATAAGTTTGAGACTGTTAGAGACTATGGGAACTTTCGAAGTTGGACTGAATGATTTTTTTTAAATTATGAGATTGGGTACAAGCCTTTGCGGGCCAGGGAATGGAATGTGGTTTGAAAGTAAATGGCCCTCAAAGTGAGTGGTACTAGTAAGAGGTGTGGTCTTGGAGTAGATGTGGTCTTGTTGGAAGAAGCATGTCATTGTGGGAGTGAGTTATGAGGTCCCATATATATTCAAGCCACAGCCAGTGTTTCAGTTCATTTCCTTTGGATCAAGATGCAAAGACTCTCAGCCCCAGTACCATGTCTGCCTGCAAGCTGTCTTGCTTCCTGCCATGCTGATAATGGACTGTACCTCAGAACTAGAAGCAAGGAAATGTGTTCCTTTGTAAGAGTTGCCATGGTCATGTCTCTTCACCTAAGACATTGTTCTAAAGGAGAAAGAAAGTAGATGACACGCTGAGTGGGCTACAGTCATGGTGTACAGACAGTGGTCAAGGTGTGTGTTATCAAGACTTCTGACCTGAATTTGATTCCTGGGACCCACATGGTAGAAAGAGAGAACTGATCCCCAAATTCTCTCACCTCCACATGTAAGCTATGGTCTGGGCACCCCAAACACTAATGAGTCTGGGTGTCAGGTACATAGATGTCTGATGCTGTTATTCCTTATATATTATATATGCTTTTATAATACTGTTGCTCAATATTAAACCCTTAATATTTAACCTCTAAAATGAACATAATTTCAGTTTTACAAAATCAGGATTAAAACACTATTTTTTCTCTAAAATTTTTTAAAGATTTATTTGTTCTTAATTTTTGCACATGTCTGTGCACCAGATGTTCTTATTTTTTGCACATGACCTGTGCACCAGGTCAGAAGAGAGTTTCAGACCTCCTAGGGCTAGAGTTACAGATGGTTAAGGTCCTCCACATGGGTACTAGGAATCAAAGCTAACTCCTGTGAAAAAGCAGTTAGTGTTCTTACCCATCGAGCCATCTCGCCAGCCCCCCAGAATTAAAATTATTAATGTATGTGGACTGGGTTACTATCTTTAGCAGATAAACACATTTAAGTTGAAAACACATAAATTGAAAAAAAAAAACCTAAGTATTTTTCCCCTCTCTACTAAAAGGACCAATGTTAGGAATTCCAAATGAATCTCGCTCTCCCTTTCTCAGGGCTCAAGCCCAGGATCTTACACGCGCTGAGCAAGTGCTCCACTGTTCATCCCTATCCCTGACAACCACACTGTTCTCAACATTTGCACAAATCTACTTAGAGGTTTAGATTTGTTATATTAAAGTAGAATTATAGTCATTCTGAAGTTTTCTTATTTTTTCTCAGAAACAACACAAACATTCTTCCAGGGGAATATGCAAAGATCCTATTCACTTTTCACCTTCAGCTGGCCACCAGCAGTCCTTCCTACAGGTGCAGGGCAACACATCTATCTGGTCATTCCGCAGCTGACGGGCACCCAGGGAACGTCCAGTTTCTGCTACTGAAGCAATGTAGAGTCACTGTATCTATATCCGGGGGACTTGATGATCTGGAGTATTTGAGAACAGCATTTGTTCTCTATGGCTCTAATCTAAGAGTATGTCTGTTTTTAGTTTTAACACACAACGCTAGACTGATTTCCAGAGTGATGCTAAGAACCCATGTTTCTAAAGGCAACATCATGATAAGACCTTTGAGCTCCTACCTTCTTCACCTCACCTTTGTAGACACAAAAACAAAGGAAGAACCCACAGTGAGCAGATTTTGATACAGAAACTTGGGGCCTATAGATAGTCTGTTCTAATGTCTTTAACATACTAGAAAGTTCATATAGATAAGTAAAATACAATAGCCACAAGGAAAAATGAGAGGACATGACCAGATGGATCATAAATAAAAAAATGAAGGTGGTTAATAAATACATTAACAATATTAACCTCACAATATTAAAATGCAAAAAAATTAGAATTTTTGTTTTTGGCTCATGAAATCTGTTAAGAGTTTAATATAGTAACGTCCAGGGTGTATATCATTTCTTGATAGCAAATTCATTAACAAAAGTACCAAAAGTCTGAAGATGACCCAGGACTTCTACAAACTGAGTCTACAGAAAGAATCAGGGCTTCACAGAGACATGTGAATTAATGAATGAACAGTCCATGATAAATTATATATCCAAACAAAAATCAGAAATAACTTAGTTGTTTCCAAATAGAATGACAGACTAAATTATAATTCATCCACAAGAATAACTATTTAGTCACTAAAAAACCCCTTGTTTTGAGAAACAAACTAATAAACAGAACAACATTTACAAAAATAAGATGCATGTCATAAATTTGTACATAGAATATGATGTTCATTTTTAAATTAAAAGACATAAAATATCCATATACTTCACTACGTCCCAAACTTTCTAAAAAAATTAAACATTACTTCATAATTTAAAATAAAACAATCTTAGGTTTCAGAAAGGGTTATCTATTTTTTGACTATACACTAAAAGTAACTAAGAAGTATTTGCATAGTGAATATATACTTAATTTTTTTAGTCATTTATGAGACTATCAATGTGTCACCGAAAAAAAGTCCATACTTGTCAATATATGCTGATACATACTTTAATAATTCTACCTCTGTAGTTAAGGGGAAAGGGAAGATTTTTTAAAAATATTTGCTTAAAAATAGGTAGAAGTATTCTCTTACATTAATTTTACCTGCCTTCCCCAAAAGATAAAACATTCAAGTTAGAACTTACCTCAAACGTGTGGTCTAGCCTGTACACTGATACCGAATTGACCGCACTGACTATTTCCAACACGCCATTGAAATTATTCAAATCTTGAAACACTTGCAGAATTTCTATTATTCTACTGAGCACTGCCACCCGCTCTTCAAAGTTTTCTGCTTCCACAATGCATCTAACAACAACAAAATATTCGTGCCTTAGAAAAATGTTTTCACCTCAGTTAATAATAAACTTCTTTGTAAAGCCAGAGTTGTAGCTTAAATATGACTTAACATTATGACTACTAAGGTACAGTAAGACAGAGTAAATAAAAACTTACTTTTCAAACCAGAGAGTGAGGTTTGTTGTATGGCGAATCATTTTTAATAAATTTGGAGAGTTTATTTCTTTATCTTCTTTGGTCCAGACACTCCCTACAAGTTCAGACGGTTGGACTTTCCTGTAAAACATCAAAAATCAACACAACTCAAAAGACTAGTGTCAGGTTATCTAAATGCTTCCACAGTATAAACTGAGAAATGTATGTGCAAGTCAAGTCACAAAGAAATAGACCCAAACAGTCATAAACACGAAGAAATGCTTTATCACTTGGGGTGGGGGGGTCCTAAACCTACAATAAAATTCCATTTTATACCTGTCAAACTAACAGAAGTCTGATGATAACACCAAAGGCAGGAAGCCTCCAATGATGGTACCGAGGTGAAGATGATTCACCAACCACTTGACAACTTGGTAATATCTCACAGCACTGAAGACACACACACACTGAGAAAGCAACTCAGCCTCTAGGATAAACTTACACAGTAGTGGGAATGCATTTACAGAATGCTCAGTGACATTGCTTATAAAAATGAGAAACTCCAAGCCTAGAAGCTCACTATCAAGAACTAGAGAAACCAGAGAATAGTTATAATGAAATATTACACAGTGACTAAAGCAAGTAAATTGAACTCGACATCAACTTGAACAAATATCAAAAATAATCTAAATAAAAAAACCTGGCACAGAGTCTTATTATAAATATATGTGGCCTTAAGATATGCCAGACAATGCTATGTGTTACTTAGGGCCATGCACACAGACAGCTAAACTATAAAGTCAGACACGGAGAATAAACATCAAGTCCTGGGTAAGGATAATATTTTGGAAGGAAAGGAGAACAGTGTAATCAGGAAGAGTTTTAAGAATTTCAATCTTATCTAAAATAATAATTTTTATTGTCCATGAACATTTATTATTATCTATTTTTGGAATGCTTGAAATAACTAATAAAAACCAGAAGAGAAGACATAACCATTAATGAGTCAGGACTGCATAATCTAAAACTGGCCAATGTCATTGCCATCAATGCCCTCTAATTTTCAATATTTAAAAACTTTTTGGTCAGTAGACTTGAAGATAAATGGGTACTTGCTAACAGCTTTTGGAGTGCATTTACTGCTTTCTTGAGACAAGGACTCATGTAGTCCAGGATGGCCTCGGAGTCTCTCTGTATTAGAACACAGCCTTGAGCTTTTGCATCTTCTCCTTCCAGTCTTCCAAGTGCTGGGATTGTAGATATCTGCCAATATATCTGGCTTTTTCAGAATAACTCTTCTTACTTAGAACTTTATTCACCAGAAATTTACCCACAGTATCAATGTCTGTATGCTACTTTTCTTCTATCAAACAAACCACAGAACACTTAGCATTTCTATGCCATGAAAACATGTCTACAAGGAGTTACATACTATAAAACAATGATATCCATGTCATTTTTAAAACTGATCTCACGTGCAATCATGAGGAAAGATTTTATTCAGTACTATTTGCTTTGCTGCCTAAAGTAACAAGTTTATACTTACCTGTCACAAATCACAATACAAAACTATTTTGAACACTAATCGAATTCCACATTACTTAAAATATAGCATGGTATTCTTAGTCAGATGTTTATAAACACTTGGTGGCATGTTAGAGGTAAGATTCTGAATGGCACAACCAGTGCAAAGCACAGACACCAATTTTAATGAGGGCAGTTTATCTGTAGGAAAGACTGTTCTTTCCTACAGTCTCCAGAGTAGTAATATTTATAGCCTTGCTTTTTCTCAGTGCAATCCATAAAAAAAAAGGCTGTTAAAAACACTGGCTGTTTTTTCCAGAGGACCAGGGTTCAATTCCCAGCACCCACATGGTGACTCACAAGCTTCTGTAACTTGAGTTTCAGCAGATCCAATACCCGGAAACACTAGGCAACGCAACTTGATGTAGACATCCACACAAACTAACCATTACAAAATATTAATTAATTAATAAAAATATCTCCTGATGAGGAAGAATAACTTCTCCAGAATTTTTGTATTGTTTTGTTTACTCTATTTTTTCAGACAAGGCTTCATGTAGCTCAGGTTGGCCCTAAACTTGCTATATGCTAAAGCTGGCTTTGAGCTCTGGATCCTCCTGCTGTCTACCTCATGAAGGCTAGGCTGACAGGCTTATATCACCACACCCAGCTGGATACAAACGAGGGCTTCTGGACCCAGAAGGTTATGATGTGAGCATGGTAGGGGCTTATTTTTCAGCAGGGAGCAGTTGCCTATATAGTCTACGGCAGTCGCTGGAGCCTGGGTTGTAAAGAAAGGCTTGCGTCACAACACACTATCCATTCATTGGTCAGCCAACAACCTCACATCCATACCGACTGATGGCACTGTCTCAGACTAAAGCAATCTAGGGCACATCAGGAGTGGGGCTGCCTTGGAAGCAGCCGCTGTCCTGTGGAGTCAGTCACTACTACACTGTAAGAGCCTGTCTCAAAACAAAAACGGAGGAATTCTTTTTTTTTTTTTTTACAATTATTTAGGGTGTGTGCGTGTGTGTGTGTGGTGGGGTGACACAAACACTTGTATGGAGGTCAGAAGACAACTCGGAGGGGCCAGTTTTCTCCTCTCACTCTGCTGGCCCATTCTTAAATACTCACATATAATTAGCAAAATATTCTGAAGACAGGTAAGACGCATACCCAAAGTTCTTGAAATAGAGCAAGAAATTAACATTACCTACCTGTAGAGATCAGACTCCAAAAGCGTCAACTGCCGTGCGATTTCTATTGGATGAAGTGTCATAAGGTCAAATGTCTCAAACTGGCCTGGTCTACTTATATGCCATTCGATTGGTGGAGGTGGACTTTCAAAGGTAATATTATGGCTTATTCCATTTGCCTGAGCTTGCTTTTTCCTCTTGATGATTTTAGCAATGGACTCTACCCATTTCTTCATAGCTTTCCCTGGAAAACAACAGAAACGCCCTTTACTTGACCAGATAACTGCGAACGGAAGAGTAACTACCACCTGGCTTCAACACCAACAAGACAGTTACCACTTCACTTGTTTTTAAGCATATGATCTTAGAAACTTCACAATAATCACAGTACCACTGCTACATATAAAACACTGGTCCCCAAAACCTGTCTTCAGACAGACTCCCACTGTGTAGTCTAAACAGAGGCCTCGGACTCTCAACCCTTGGGCTTCCATTTTCTAAATGCTGATATTGCCACCACACCCAGCAAAGTGATACCTGGATATCTTCAAATATTTTGCTAGTATTCAAATTTAACTTCCAAATGTTTTCCTATAGTTGACCTGTTTTTAAAACGACATAAAGGGCTGGAGATAAGGCTCAACAGTTAAGAGCACTAGCTGAACTTCTAGTGGCCAAGTTCAGTACCAAGCACCTACGACAGTCTGGAATTGCAGTTCTAGGGGATCCAATGTCCTCTTCTTGCCTCCACGGTACACATACATTTATGTAGGCAAAACATCCATGCACATAAATGAATAAAATTAAAATTTAAAAAGGATACAAACAAGACATTTAGTCAATATATAATTTTCCTTAATATACAGGTTCCCCTTTTATCACTCAAAATGCTTACAATTTATTTGCTGAAGAAACTAAATTATTTATCCTGTGCCATTTGTTCTCTGGGGTTTTCTTTGCAGTTTCACACCTATGGCGTCATCTGCCATGTTTATCTCCCCCAGACTTTCTTCCTTCAAAACCAGAGATATAGACACTTAATCTAACTCCAATGTAAAGTGTCTTATTTTTTCTCTTTTTGAGATATTTACTAATTCTAAATCACTAAGCCATTCAAAAATTTTTAACATGAGTGTGTGTATGTCTGTGTGTATGCGCAGGTGACCTTGGAGACAAGAGGATGTCTGCTTCCCCTTGAGCTGGTTACAGGCAGTTATGAGCCATATGAGAGGTTCTTTGAGAGAGCAATAAGCACTCTTAGTCACTGAGCCATCGCTCTGTCCTCTAGATCTCTTACTTTGTTAGCACTGTAGAAGGTGATAGAGCATTACGTCTTCAATTATTAGGCAAACCGCTTCTATTAAAAAATCAACTTTCCCTCATGGTTATTCTGAGGTATAATTTGTACAGGAAAGAACGTATGACATTAACACACATACTCTCTCTAAATAAATATATCTAATATATACATTTTAAAATGTATATATTTTAGATTATGTACAATTTACTGTTTCTATTAATAGCTTTGATATAATTATCCCCAGCAAGCAGAAGGTGGAAGAGGAATGAGAGTCCAAAACCATCCTTTCCTACATTAATGAGATCAAATCCAGCCTGGGATCCATGAGACCCTTTCCCAAAAATACAAAATGAAGGTCTGGAGAGATGGCTGAGCAGTTAGGAGCACTGGCTGCTCTTGTAGAGGACACAGGCCCGGTTCTCAGCCCCACATGGCAGCTCATGACTGTAAGTTCAGTTCCAGGGGTCCAATGCACTCTTCTGACGACCACAGGTATCAGGAATGAATGTGCTCAGACACACATGCAGACAAAGTCATTCATACACATAAAATTAAACAAATAAGTTAATACAAATAAAATTTAAACTTAATCAGCATTATGAACAATTTTAAGAGACAAATACATAATAAAACTATCTTTGCTATCTCACAGTTGGACAAAGGAATAAATACATTCTATATTTTAAATAAAATTTCCCTTAAAGAACAAGTAAGCTCTTAGCTTCCTAGCTGCTATGAGTGAACAGCTTCATGATTACAGCCTCTGCTTCAAATCACAACTCCAAACAAAGGAGCCAGCCAAGCACAGACTGAAACCTTTGAAACTGTGAGGAAAAACATTTGCTTCCTGCTTTTTTTGAAAAGAACAACAAACAGGACATGGAGAAAGTTAGGTTTGCTATGATATTTTTCAGCAATGTTGTACACTGTAAGTTAAAACAAATTTGTGCTTTATTTAATAATGCACATTTTGGTAACATCTGTATGTTTAATCATCAAGTCCCAGAGTTTCATATTATAGGTTGTGATTCTGAAACTTCAAGTAGGAAACACTTATCTTTCTGGTGCAGAGGGATTTCCTGTAATACTTTTCCAGAAATAAATACTATTTTTCAACGTTAATGGTCCAAATTAAAGAACAAGATTAAGAAGAATAGGAGAAAAATTTAATCATATTTTATTTAATTGAAGGGATGGAACCTTGAGGTGACATAAAATGTTTAATTATTTAAGATAATTTTTTATGAGTATGAGAGAGAGAGAGAGAGAGAGAGAGAGAGAGAGAGAGAGAGAGAGAGAGAGAGAATATACACCATGAGTGTTCAGAGGCCAGAAGAGGACATCTGACAGTCAGACAGGCTGGAGCTGGAGTTTAGGCAACCATTAGCAGCATGATGGGGTGGTGGGGACAGCACTGAGTCCTCTGAAACAGCAGCAAGTTAGCCCCTAAATATACTAAATTTACTTTAAAGGCCTTTGACTTCTCTACAAGAAATATTCTCAAAATGTTGCAAAGGCAGCTGAGGAGATTGCTGAGTGGTAGAGCACTGGCCTAGTATTCAGCAGGGCTTGTGCTCCATCTCCAGCACTGATAGGGCAACAGACACTTGAGAAGACAAGGTTCTATGACTTCAGATGATGCTAAAAACATCAGATTTCTCAGAGGAGACAGCAGGATGGTTTCAGTTTTCTAGACGTGATAAGTAGTTTATTTCTAGAGTACATTCATGTACGACACAAGATTCAATCAAGCCTTTCAATAATATACCTCTTACACTTGAAATGAAGGATTCTAGTCTTTCAAGCAATTCCAGGTCTCTTTCAAAGTCATAAAAATGATGTTCAACCCAGTGGCGAAAGACATTTAAGATCCTGATAAAACGAAAAGACACATTTAGTGAAACAAGTGCTTCTTTCATTTCTCTATTATGTAGTGAATTTCATATGCAAAGACACACAACACTTGAACCTCTAATATATACTCAATATTCTAAAATATAAGAAAGGACTGTTTTCAGACTGCAGTAAACTGATACTTTAAAGATGTTGTAAAGTATAAAACCTCATTTCTGTGCTTTATTACCCATTCCTATTAAGAAAAAGAACATTTTCTTTATTCATATATAAAAGAATCATGCTCCATAGTACAAAATATATTTTTAAGTTCTTAAACAGAAAAAACATTTGTGTGTGTGTGTGTGTGTGTGTGTGTGTGTGTATGAGAGAGGGAGAGAGAGAGAGAGAGAGAGAGAGAGAGAGAGAAGTCAACATCATGTGTCTTCTTCAATCACTCCTCTACATCATCGTTATTGTCGTCGTCAACATCATCATCATCACCATCATCATAAGAGTCAGGCTCTCTCACTGGACCTGGAGCTCACCAATGAGTTAAGTTGGTTGGCCCGTATGTTTCCAGGCCCTCCTGTCCCCACCCGCTTCAGGGCTAGGAGTACAGGCTCACACTACCGTACTTAGATCTTAACCTGGGTGCTGGAGATTGAACTCAGGCCCTCATGCTTGCATGGCGAGCACTTTGCAGACTTAACCCTTTCCCCAGGCCCCTGAAAATCATTTTTGAAATATAAATTTTGATGCATTTTCACATAGAATGGAAAACTTATCACTTACTATGTTTGAGTTTAAATTCAACTGCTATCATTTCTTTGTAAGCTACTAAAAAGTCTATAACCTCGTTGCTAATTTCCAAAGACAAAAATACTACTTTGGAGAAAACATTTGTTTTGTAATATCACAACATGGTTACTTATGATATTGCAAGTATACAGAGTTAATCCTCCATACAGATGCAATTTCCACTCACTGCCACAGATACACTGTAATATAAATTAATTGCATTAGCAATTTTTATTTCATTACTTCAAAAAATGATCATTTCCAGTTAGGTCCTTTTCTTCTCTCACAGCAGGATGAGCAAATATAGCTACTTTCAGTGTGTGTCATCCTGTTTGTATAAAACTTCACATTACTGAGGGTTGGTCAGTGCAGCAGCTCAGGGATGCATCAAGAGATCACAGAACTGCTAGCTTCTAACTTATGCTTAGATCAGTTCTCCTACAACAGCAGCACAGTTCGAAAGTTGTTAGATGAAAGAAGGATGTCTCACCATCTGATTTTATCAAAACTAAAAGTTTCAGCTTATCAGAACATCAGTAAGAAAGCTAATGGGCTAGCCACTAAGTGGAAGAAAATATTTAATATTTACAAAATACTTTTTCCTGACAAAATACAGTAGAGACTGCAACCTTCTCAGTTCACCCCTATACCTCCATTTAAAAAAAAAAGATTGACAACTTGGTAAAACAGACAAGACGTTCTAAACAGATTCTATACTATATGAGTATGAATAATTAGAAAGAAGCAAAAGTTCTTATAATGAATCACGAAGGGAAACAAAGCACAGTGGGAAACTATATCCTCGGAAATACAGTTAGGGCGTAAAACAGGACCCCACAAACACAAGCTGGGTGTGGACACTGGGACTCACAACAACCTTATTATGTTAGAAAAGTTCTGACAATTTCTTTTATAGCTGAACATAGACCTAAACTGCCCATCTAGTCATTCTGAGCCATTTATTTGCGCTAAGTCAAAGAGTTACAATTCACAATAAGGTCATATCAATAAATTTTAAAATTACATATAGAAACAACATGGATCAATCTCAAAAGCATTTTAATTAAGAGGACTGAAATGAAAATAATAAAGACCTACTTAAATGTAATTAAAAGGTAAAACTAGTTTATGGAGGGGGAAATCAGAATAGTGCCTTTGGACATGGACACAGCTCTATTAGAAGGGTGCAGAGCATCTTTCTGAGGTGCGGTAAAAATATGCCTGCATCTTCCTTGGCTTGGTGGTGCAGGCCTTTAATCCCAGCACTGGGGAGGCAGGCAGATCTCTCTGAGTTTGAGGCCAGTCTGGTCTACAGAGTGAGTTCTAGGACAGCCAGAACTGTTACACAAAGAAACCCATCTCAAAAAAGGAAAATGTTGAAAAACCACCTTCCATTTTACCAAAATCCTCACTGCTCACAGAACAGGCTCGGCAGCTGGTGTACATCAGGCCTCTTGACTCATACGCTTGATCTCACTCCACTCTCTTCATCCTCTGACACCAAATCCCACGGCTATTTCTTCTGTATATCAGTCTCAAGTTTGCCTTTGTACAATTTCCCATTTTCCTCAGTATGCACAACCATGTTTCTGTGTATCTAAATCCTACAATTCTTCCAGAGGAATCTTAAATTTTACCTCACTTAAGATGTCTTCCTTAATTACTCCAATCTAACCTCTACTATTCCTGAATATATACTCTACTGAGATTGGACCAAGGCCTTAAACATGTTAGACAAGGGTTCTACCATGACACATTGTCCCCAGCCATATCTTTATGCTCTATTTGAGAATGGTCTTGAACTCGCTCTGTAGCCCAGATCAACCATGATCTCCCTGACTCAGCTTGCGGAGCATCTGGGATTACAGGCCTATGATATTTGGCCCTGATACTCCTGAAATTATTATAAAGGTGTGTATTTTGTAAGCCACTGAAACATCCTAAGTAGAGTAACATATAACTTCCATATATCACTTTTTACCAGTGGAATTACAGTATTGTGGTACCATAAGATTATAGCAGTCAGTTATTTTTATACTTGTAATATGGTATAAATATAAAGCTAGAACACAAAAAAATCAACATGACTGAGTCTAAGATTGTTTTCTTACTCCAAATAGCATAATAAATGCCTGCCTCATAGAAGGAGACTTAATTTGTCTGTAGATTAGACCAAATGTATTACAGCTCTTAGAGAAAGTTTTCTCTAAAAAAGATCATTTTCTTCCTCCAAATAGCAATTTCATAAATGTATGCCTCATATTAAGGAGACTTAATTTGACTGTAGATTAGATCAAATGTATTACAGCTCTTAGAGAAAATTTAATTACTTCTCTATTTTCGATTGGTAAATAAGTTCAACTTCTATACAGAAAGCCATGTGAGGAGCAGACAGCCACTGGCATTGCCATTACCTGGGACTGCATTTATTTTTGTGGCAATTACTGTGGAAAATAAATAATTAACAAACTCAGTTCTGAAGCTGTAATCTACTGATCAACAACAACCAAGGACATGGTGATCACAGAGAAAGGGTCTTCTATCCGCACAATAATCTGTTTGCAATGGAAAGAAGTAGTTACTTTGGTTTGACCCCGCCCCTTCAGGTTCTCATTTGGGCTGTTGGGACTAGTCAAATGAATTTCAAATTTTCAATGCTTAGCAAAAAAAAATATGCTGGCTAAGGAAGTCAGGTATGGATTTTAACCCTATCTTGCCACTCTCTTATAAAAACTATTTCAAATTACTTTATCTTGTTCAGTTTTAATTTTCTTATATATGAAATATGCATAAAATTATATACATCCCTAGCACTACAAAAACAGTGTTGCAAGGATAATATAGAAAAGATAAAGCACTAGTGGGTAATGACTGGTATACAGTAAGTACCTAGCAACTTAGAGTAAATACACACTCACTCCTACAGGATGTCTATATATTTTGAGGAGGGAAGGAGTTACAGCTGTGAAAGCACACACAATCACTACACTAGCCTAGTGGGATGTGGAAGAAAAAAACAGGAAAAAAGGCTAGAGTAGATAAGTTTATGTGGCTACCTACAGCCCCAACAGATTCTTCTGTTGTGAAGACATTAGAGAAGCCCTGGGAAAGTTAGCTAGCTACACTAGCTTGTCTCAATAAATAAAGCAGATAGCAACCAAGAAAGACACACTGGATGTTGACTTTGGGGCTCTGTATGCACACGAACCTGTATACATATGTGCCATATACATGCAAACATGCATACACACATGCATGCACACCACAGTACAGACAAAAATAGAGCAAATAGGCATCTCAGTGTATAAACATAGTCTGTCAAGGACATACACATGATATAAACAGTGCAATATATTTAAATAATTAAACTACATTTGAGTTATTTAAATATTACCTTTAAAGAGAAAGAGGGAAACTTGGCTGAAATAAGTTAAAGACAGAAGGATTTGAACTAAGAGCTAAAAACTTGTGTGTGAACTATATAATAAAGTATTTTAAAGCTGTACTATTTGGGTCAAACCTGAGTTGTACAGGTTGGACGTATTCCTTGCGAAATCTTTTCAGATCTGCACTGATGGGCTGCTCGCCTTTCTCTAGTGCCAATTTGTCTGCCTCAGTGGGTTCTGGTTCCGGAATTTCAAACCTAAGAATAAAATCAAAAGAAGAAAAATGTGTTCATGTATAACTGAAAGAGACTTTGGGTACATCAGGAAGAGGTTTTGGCTAAGCAATCCTTTCTCCATCATTATGTAGGACGCTTCACTCACCCTAAGGGAAGCTCACACGTAAGAAATCTTTTGCTGTTTGGTACCAAGGTTTGTATTCTTTTTTTAATAATTTATTTTTATCATTACTATTTGTACATACCTCTGTGTGTGTTCATAACTGTGTGCATGAGGGAGTGTGTGTGTGTGTGTGTGTGTGTGTGCGCGCGCACGCGCATGTGTGCGTATAGGTGCCCATGGAGACCAGAGTCATTAGAGTTGGAGTTACAGGCCATGTGGGTGCTGGGAACCAAACATGGGTTCTCAGGAAAAGCAGCTACTGCTCTTAACCACTGAGCCATCTTTCTAGTCCCTATATTCTTATTCTTATTTTTTAAAAAAAGTTTTATAGGTAGCACTGATAAGCACAGAAAAGGTCAACATTTTATATTTTCAACTACAAAGCATTTAAAATACTTTAAAAATACAGAAAAAAATTTCAGCCTAAATCTTAATATTTAGAAACTAGCAATGTAGAAACTGTTGATTTTTAGGCTCAATAATACATGATTTTTAAAATAATAAGCACTATCTTTTAGAGATACATATAGAAATATTTAGGTAAAATCTTGGTCTAAAATCTACTTCAAAATAATCCTGGGGGTAGGATGGCTAAATCTGTAGGAAATAATGAGATATGTCAGTGATTACCAAAGCTAAACGATGGATAAAAGGGCCTATGCTTTTTTTATAACAAGTCTATTGCAAAAGTAAAAGGTAAATAAACATCTTTAAGAAACAAAATAAACTTTACTGAAATACAATTTTCATCAGTGAAGCTTGCTTTTTCTGTTTCCCACTTACAACCCCATTGCACGCTGGAGAGCGCGCTCACTGGCAGAGGCTCAGGAAGCCTGCTGAAGAGAACAGCAGTGTTGCTGGCGTAACACAAGCCAGCTGCCTTCAAGAACTACTGAGTATTACTAGGACCTCCGCAAAGTACAAAACCATTAACGTGTGTGAGATGTGTCTTTCTTACCGTTCTATTAGCAAGCTTAGCAATTCCTGTGGTTTACAAAATGAACGATACGTAGTAAGAAAAGTACGAACGAAATTGGGATCTGAAAAAGCAGAGCAAAGAATAGATTTCATGTTTAATTTACCACTTTAATTCATTTTCCTTTCTTACCTTTTTGTTTCCACTTTGGACCCTTCCAGTGTAGCTTTTTCATGACAGACGCAATATTTCTCTCTCACCTTCCCTCCCTCCTTCCTCCCTATAAAGACAAGGTCTCATGTAACCCAGGCTGGCTTCAAAAATTGCTGTGTAGCCAAGGATGACCTTGAATGCCTTATCTTTCTGTCTCCACTCTACTTCCCAAGTGACTGGCCTAAACCATTTCTTGATAAATGAGAATAAGAACTGTTTCCAATTTTAATTTTACAAATAAACATTTATGGGCACTTATTAGCCACTGAAATTAATGACACATTTTAGAAACATTTAATGAATTATTTAGTCCTTTTGATTTTTCATTTTTTATTTGGGAAGGCACTCCACTCCCACCCATTAACTCTGTCTGTTTTTTCTGTCTCGGGTCCCAGACCCTAGGAAAGCACTTGCTAGTTTTACACACCTGCACACATGTGACATGTTAACCTAGTTTCACACACCTGCACACATATGATATGTTAACCTAGTCTCATATACCTGCACACATATGATATGTTAACCTAGTCTCACATACCTGCACACATATGATATGTTAACCTAGACTCACATACCTGCATATATATGTTAACCTAGTCTCACATACCTGCATACATATGATATGTTAACCTTTCAATTAATTTCACCACAGTTCCTCCTTTAATAATGGGGATTCCACTTCTACTTTGCAAGTTGTCTTCAAAAACAATGTTTTCCTCAGAGTCCTTTACCACAAAGCGATACATGTCTGGACTGGGCAGCCTCAGCGGCTGCTCGTTCTCCTCCTTCAGCAGCACGGAGTCCAGCATTCTGTCCAGAGTACTTCGGTAGTGGAGGGAGATGAGGGCTGCCATCCAATTATTCTTCTCTTCTGCTGACTTAGCAGCAAATATTACACTGTTTTCATCTTTGGAAACTAATTCAAAAGCATGTTTGCATTCACAAGTATCTTCTTTATCACAGATTTGAATTTTCCTCATGACAAACTTCTCTTTTAATCTGTATTCTGCATTACTACAGCCTGGAAGTCGGGTCTGGCAATGATTAGGTTTACAGCTGATCATCAAGCCATCAAAGAGAAAAATATGTCTTTCATGTTTAGCACCAATTCTGGTCAATGGCCCCTCCATTATGAATTCATTACAGCACTGTCCAATATCTTTGCCTTCCCACCCATCTATGTTTTTCTGAATTTCATTCATTTTTTTAATAGCCAGATGCTTGCTTCTTAATTGACGGTTGTAAAAAAGGCAAACAGGGTCCCTAAAAAAAAAGGTAAATTTGGTTTATTAAATTATAATAATTATGTAATACCAAATCAAATAACAAAAATGTTAAGCTGAGTTGAGGGGTCTAGTTAAATAACTGAGTACATGCTTAGCATTAAAAAGCCGAGTATGACTACCCAGCATACAAAAGCTTAAATAACCAAATATTAAACTATATTGCTAACAATTATTTTCTTCTAGCCCTGCCCCTGAATACCAAATGATCCAAATTCACTACTGTCAAAGTACTACATTTTTAGAGCCCATAAGAACAAAAATTATAGGAGAAAAAAAAATCCCACACTGCTTGCAAAAAACAACATAAAATTTCATTAAACATATATTTAAATGAACAAATACGTCCTACAGTATAACAATGGTAATTTTGCAATTTCCTGACTAAAACAAACCAAAAAAGGACAAGCAAAACTTTTAAAAATGCAGTTAAGGGGCTGGAGAGATTGCTCAGCAGTTAAGAGCACTGACTGCTCTTCTAGAGGTCCTGAGTTCAAATCCCAACAACCACGTGGTGGCTCACAACCACCTGTAATGAGAACTGGTGCCCTCTTCTGGCCTACAGGCAGAATACTGCATGCATGCATGCATGCACACACGCACGAATAAATAAATGAATAAATAAATAAATCTTTAAAAAACTGCAGTTAAACCATACTTTGGGAAAGTGAGCACCACGCACAATGAAGGAAACATAAGCATTCATATTTGGAACAATCTCAAATTACCCTGGTCGGCGTCTAGGTGAATGCTGCTTGTAAATTCTGTCCATGCTGCCCTGGAGATTCATGAGAGCAGTGATCGCCTGATTCAAACACTCTCTGTCTTCCTGTTCTTCACTACATGCCTTCAACTGCTAAGTAGGAAAAAGATAAAATTACATTGCTTGGTTCTATTCTCAATGTCGTTGTAGTTAAAGCAGCAACAAATATTTAAAACTTAAAGGTATTAATGCACTAGCTTGAATATGCAATGTCTCCTACAGGTTAATGTGTTTGGACACTAAGTTCAAGTTGGTAGCACAGTTTGAGAAAGTCTGTTGACCCACAGAAGGTGGAGCTTCCTGACTGAGATGCTGCCATTCTTTCCCACGGCCACGGGCTGTGTCCTTCAACTGTAAACCAGAGTAACCCATTCCTCACTCATGTTGCTCCTTGTCAGATATTTGGACATAGTGAAAAGACTAAAGTGCTTAATAAAGACCGCTATAAATTTGCATAATTATATACACCATCATACTTTCAGCACACAAAACAATTTAAAGTATTTAAAGCATGAAATTTAAAAGTTATTTTTAGGGTCAGCAAGATGGTTCTGTGTTTAAAGTGCTTGTTGCACAAACCAGATGATGAATTTAATCTCCAGAACCCACATAGAGGCGGAAGGAGAGAACCAACTCCACGAAGCTTGTCTTCTGCATGTGCTCCATGGCTCCCACCCTAACTCAACACTATCCACCCATGATTAAAAACTTTTTAAAGCTACTTTAATTCACTAATATGAAGGCAGAAAATAAGATTAACTCCTAAAATTATTACATGCTCTTTAATAGTTAAATACTTATGTTCTGGTCATTTCAAAAAGTTTACGTATATTTGTTATACAACAGAAAGATAAATTTTAACGCTTCAATGTATATTAAGTTGCATGTAAACAAACATTATAAAGGGTATTATTGAAAAACTTTTAATTTTTAAATTATTATATGTATATGGCTTTTTTTGTTTACATGTATATCTACACACCATGTGTGCCTGGTGCCCACAGAGACCAGAAGGGGGCATCAGATGCCCCAGAACTGAAGCTGCAGATGGATGTGAGTCATCACATGGGTACTGGCAACTGAAACCAGATCATCTGCAAGAGGATATTTTTATAACATTAAAGTCAACCACTCTAGTATCAAGAAATCATGAAAGTTAATATTTTAAATTTAAATCATCCTTAGAATTAAATTTTACAAGTTATTTTTTAATTCTTCAAATTTTGGCTTTATTTCATCTGCTGAAAATTTTCTTTTATATTTCACTCAGAAGAAAAAAACTTTCTCTCAAAAAGAAAAAACACTTTACAATAAAGTTATTTATATTAGATTATATGCCAATATTTTAAACTTTTTCGATAGAGATCCAAGTATTACATAGATATTATATATGGAAAGTATATAAATATATATTTAAGTAATAACTATGAGAAAATTATCACTTCAAAGAAATTTTGACACTCAAATTTATTTCACAATCTTAACCAGAAAGTCTGTAATAAGACTTAGGCTCTCCTTGTATTTCAAGGAGTTCAAAGGTAACTATTTGAATGTTGCTGTAGATCTGGCCCAAACCTTTCAATTGTGTCCTATAAACTGTCCCCTACTTGGAACACAGACATTGGATTCTCCAAAGGTATCTAAAAAAGTCTTGCCACCAAAAGATTAACAATGAAAGTAGTTTAAATGACTATATCAGAAGTAGTGTCTTAATCTCTAGATTACTAAATAAACACTGAAAAGATAATGAGCAAAATAAAATAAACAACCCAAAGTTTGAAAAAGGATCAGGTTTTGTTATTCTGAATTTTAGGTGACCACATAATAAAAGTTATTCACTTTATCTATATAAAAGATTTCTCAGGCTTAGGCGATGGCCCAGTGGTTAAGAGCACTCGCTGCTCCTCCAGAGGACCCAGGGTTGGTTCCTAGAACCCAATGGCAGCTCACAACCATCTGAAACTCTAGTTCCAGGGGACTCAACACCTTCCTTTTGTTTTGTAGACAATATACTTACATGGTACACAGACATATATACAGGCAAAACACACACATAAAAAAGTGAAAATTAAAAAAATTCTTATAAAAAGAGTTATCTAAGCTCTACATGAAAATATCTTAATCGCTGGGTTTAGTGGTGCACACCTTTAATCCCAGCATGCGAGAGGCAAAGACAGGCAGATTTCTGTGAGTTCCAGACCAGCCTGGCCTATACATAGTGAGTTCCAGAATAAGCTGCATAGTGAGATTCCCACCCCCCATATGTATTTATCTTAAAGAAGAATATTGACGGCATAAAACGTCTACTATAGGTTTTTTTAATTTTTATTAAAATCTTCAATTATCAGCAGCTGTGAAATTCTACCAAACTTGGAACTACCCTAAATACAGTTATAAAACTACTAAATTTCCCCTCTCCCTAATTCTATTCAAGGAAATTCACATGTTGTCTTTAAACAGTCATACAATAATTATAATTACAAGTTTGTCAAACAGAAAAAAAAGTCAGGAGAGTTAGAGTTTCCTGGTAGTGGGAGTATATAAAACAATGGTTGCATGGTACAATCTCAGGTCAGTAACTTGCTATTTCTTTGATTTTCAGCACTAAGATAAATGGAGAGACTGCCTGTGGCATTGGGGATGGAACCCAGAACTTTACATGTCTAGGTAAGTCTACCAAGACACATTCATAGCTAAGAGTGAGACCTAAGTGTCAGCTTGAAGAAGATCCACACTGCTTTTCTACCGGATGTGAAAAGATGCATTCCACACCCGTTGAGTAGGCACAGAAATCACTGTGGTGAACCAGCTGCATACATGTTCCATGTTTCTGTAGCTTTCTGTGCTGCGCCCTGGCCTCCTCACCCAACTGCTGAACTTGGCCTCCAATACACTACAACATGCTTCTTAATGTTGAAGTTGCTTTTCAAATAATAGCTTCCCTCTTTTATTGTTTATTTGCAAGCAATGTTAAATGTATAGAACAGTTGCAAAAATAACAAAAAAATTCTGAATACTCAAGCTTCTAATTCTAACATTTGCCCCATTCATATTTAGTGTGCATACCATCCCCCAACCCTACCCATGCCTCCCCTCACAGAGAAGGGGAAACCACTGCTGAATGGTTTTGAAGTATTTCTGGAATATCCTTATATCGCAAATCACTCTCAAAGTGGAGGAAAACTCATGGGAGTCAGTTCTCTCCTTCCACCATGGTCTAATTCCTTAATCCTAGATGATTTGATTTCTTTATGGCTCTGTAACTTATTGATTTACCTTGTCAATACCTACAGTGGGGTGTCCACCATAAATGAAATGAAATGTTACTCACGTAAGTTGTCACAAGGATTTTTTTTGTCAGTAATGTTGACAAATTCTGTTATTCTTGTAGCTAATCATATGACTGTCAACAACTGTGAGCTTCATGGTAGATTGCTTCCTAACTCTCTAACATGTACATACATATGTACACACACACACACACACACACACACACACCCCTTTTAGATAGACTACTGGCTCATGCTACAAAAAGTGGGAAATAAGAGCTGAGAAAACATCTTATCTTTCTGGAAGGTCCCCTTTGGGAAGAAGACTGCTATGACCTAAGGCTGTCAATTCGTGGGGTAGGACAATAACACTTCTCCAGTCTCAAATGCACAGAACGATGGGTATGAGATAAGTGTTTATTTCTATACAATGTGTATATTTCTAAAATAATCATTCAATCTTGGGGAAATTGAAAAATTACTTTTAAGTGGTGTTCTTTACACTGTTAGTATTTCAGCAGTACATCTTAGAATAAGAATGTTCTTTTGTGGAATCAAAACATAGTTCAGATCAACTTCACAAAGTTTTACAACAATAAAGCTGTATGATCCTAGATTAGGGATATAGCTCATTGGTAGAGTGCTTGCCGAGCATGCACCATGGCCCAGCACAGCATAAACCGTGTGGTAGCACACACCTGTAATCCTAGCACGTGGGAAGTGGGGGCAGAAGGACTGGGATGGAGTTCACGGTCATTTTCATCTACACAGCAGACCAGCCTGGACTACATGGGACTCAGTCTCAACAAACAGACAACAAAAGGCTCTATTCATCTAGAATACCGCAGTTTTACAAACTGTCTCAGTAATGTCCTTTGAGGAACGTTTCCTCTATTACAGGATCTAGTAAGTGCTGCGTTAAGTTGTCAAGTTTATTGTTCCTCTTCATCTGCAGAGTTCCTCGGCATTGCTTTACATGATTCTTCCAAATAAATAACACAGACACAGATAGATAGGCTCCTATACATCCAACCTTCTAAGATTTTTTTCTGACTTCCCAGGCAAAGCTGGTTACTTCTACACGACTACTGCATTTTGGAAAGTTTGTTCTTAGTTTTAAAGTAGAATCAAAGTGCTAGGTTTCAGTGCAGCATTTTCACACACACTTTGCTCTTCCTCTTCCTCTTCGCTCACTGCCCCCTGTGCCTGTGCTTCCCTCCTGCCAGTCTCCTTCCTAGTCGAGTCACCTCCTTCTGCTTTCATGCCACATTCATTCTTTGCCATCTATTTCTCCTTCTGTTCTCCCTACATTAAGACCTTTTTCCCCTTTCAGGAGCCACTTTTATGACTTACACCCATGCCTCGTTCCTACATATATAAAAATTAAAATCCAACATTGACATGTGAGAGAGAACATGGTATGAGCCTGAGCTACTTCACTTAAGATAATAATTAATTTCCAATTCTATTTTCCTGCAAATGTCATGATTTTATTTTTATTCATAGCTGAGTAAAAATTCATTGTGAGAATATATATGTATCACATTCTTTATGCTTATCAACACATGAATGGATTATTAAGCATTTATTTTAATTACTTCTTTGATATCCAAATTCTTTATTAAATTATAATAAAGCCCTTAAACAATAGAGATACACCTTTTTTGTTCATTTTTAGTATAATATGGTTAGTACCCAACAGGCAGTTGTCAAAAGTAATCAGGATTGTGTGTGTGTAATACCAAATCTTTTGTGTTTATACACAAATAACTGAATACTTTTTAGTTCTCTGTACATGACCTTTTATTTGTTTATTTAATCTTT